CACACACACACACACACACACACACACACACACACACACACACACACACGCACACACGCACAAACAGGCCCTATCTCATAGCCTTCATAATATGATCTGAGTCCTCTAATGTGACAGTGAGCCTGTATGGTAAATAGAAACACTGAATCATGAGAAACAATGAAAACAAGAATAAGTTTAGTAAGAGTGGCATGTTGCTTTGTCATCATTGACAGGAATGTCAATAATGTGTGACAGGTGTGAGGAGAGTTATTTCTGGAGACATAAAACTGAAAGCATTCAGTTGTTATATTCTACTGATTGTTGTTGAGGCCGAGATAATAAATGAGACTTCTTCTTGTGACAGATGACACAGAGATGGCATTTCCATTTGTCAGACTTGATTGGTGTTACATAAAATGTGGATTCAAATGAAACAGGTGCCTGACAAGGGTGGAAGGGCATGCTCCGTCATGATGTGTCAGCGTAGTCTTCCTCTGTGATCTGCATGCTCTGTGGACTGAGGCTCAGCTCCAACTGCCTCAGCTGTTCCAGAAATCCAGAGTTGGGTCCGATGTCTCGGTTCAGACGCACAGCGACGATGGCCCTCCGCCAACGACTGGCCCTGGCACATCACCAGATACGCAAGTGTTTTTCATTTGCAATTGTTATTTATTTAGTTGTTCATGTTTTTATTTTGTTTTTTCATAAGTACGACAGATTTAACAAACCAAAGTTGGCAGAAATATGTTGAATTAATAGTGAAAAAATAAATTATTACAAGAGGACATGATGGAGCGGTTGAACTTTGGCTGTTCTGCAGCTTCAAAACCTCAAGGTCACTGTAGAACTTCTGACCTGTGTTGATCTGATGTCGACCTGCTGCCGCATTTAGTATGTGAGTTACACCCAGAGACGAGAGTGTGGTTTTATCCACAGACCTGCAAACACACACCACTATACAACCTGATTCATTTTAGTGTCCTTTCACAACGATTCAAGCTGCTGGTGGTCATTTTTCAACTCACTCGTCTCCGATGTACAGGTTCCGGCCAGACATGATCGATGGGTGCCACTGGCTTCCTGTCTGTGTATCTTCCTCCTGGCCTGAGTGACCTCTGTAGCAATAAAGATCTGTGTGTGTCTGTGTGAATATGTTGGTGTGTATGGCTTTGCGTGTGTCTTTACAGTGTTTGGGTCTCTCTTCGCCTCCTCCTCTCCCTCTCCAGGCTCATGTTGAGGCTGCGGAGCTGCAGCAGGAAGCCTGGGTTGGGACCTCAACAATCATCAGGAAGGCCAGCACCATGGTCGCAGAACGGCTCACGCCCATCAGACAGTGGACAAATACCTGTCCTGGGACAGGGACATTCCCTGTTACCTTCAGCCCCAGATAAGCATTATTATTGCATTGAATTGTACAGGTGTACATAAATCCAATCACACACACTGAGATGATGTAAGTGTGACCGACTTGCCGCGCATGGCCGGTGCAGCTCCGATGTATTGTGCTGTCAGGTAAAAGAAAGGACTCAGGATGAATTATATTGCATCATGAGCCTCCACCCCATAATAGTCCACTGTCATGTCTCTGTAGAAACGCGGGCCGGTGTTGACGTAGAAATGGGTGTAGGAGCCAGGGTTGGGGGATCGGTGCACTTTAAAACATGTTTAGTCCATTTTGACGAAATGTCCGTAGTCTCATTCCTATGGACAACAAACCTGTGAACTTTAACATTAGCTCACTTGCTTAGTTTCCATGACCACATACTGTTATGTAATACAACACTGCTCTGTACGTGTCTCTATGTTGCAGGGTAACGCCTGCGGCTCTAAAGAAATATGATCACGGCTGTGAATAACATTCACCAGTGACGTGTTAACTTTAGCAGCATGTCTTGTGTTTACATCATAGGCTACTGAGATATTTAGCATGAATCAAATATGAAAGTTATGCTCGTTGCATTGCCTAACAAGAAGAAAAAATAAAAGGCACATTTGGCCTTGGGTATACAGTACTTACGGATAAGTAAGTGTAGGTTCAGCACTCTCTTTGCTCCTTTAGATGACTGTAAAGTACAACAATGACCGTTAACATAATGTCAGCTACAGGTTGAAAGAAATCTTCAAGCCACATTTCTTTTGTCATCAGTTTGAATTCATTTAAAACTCAATAATTGTCATTATTCTTTATTACAATCTTTTTTTCAGTCATATTATATTATCCTACTTTGATTCATCATCAGTTGTCATTGTATTTATATGCACCCTGGTTGTAATGAGTCCACAGCTGAGATTATTTGCTATCCTTTTGCGAAAATGTAATTCAAATAACTGCAATGTAAAAAATTGCTTTTTGTTTTTTTCAGAATGGTTCGGCAATAGGTGATACAATCGTGGTTTAATTAAAATAATTACTGAGTTTTTGATCAGAGAAGACATTGTTACTAAGACATTGTTAAATGATTTGGCTGAAACAAAAAAATAACTCTCCCCCTTATTAAGCAAACTGTTATGTTTTGTTAAAAATGTTGCAATGCGCATAGTTTAAAACATATTTAAAAATAATGTTTACCACTCATTTTATATCCATCCAACCAGAATATTTCAATGAAATATCATAAGATTTTTTAATTCACAACGACTTGGTCGTAAAGGCATATTTACAAAGCTTGGGAATTGAACATTTGAGGTAACATTTGAGAACAGTTTGAATATGGCAACAAACCTCTGAGAAATATGCCGCTTAAATATTTACAGTATTTCACAAAACAGTTGCTGCTGTTCTCAGAAGTTAAACTCGTGCATGAAAAGTAGACAACCTTAGAAATAAATTACAGATATTATACTTTTTGGAGACAGGTCTCACATTAGGCCTCTGTCTCTTTTTCCATGTCTCTAAAAAATTGAAAGAGTTTAGTGGAGGCGATTGTCAGATGTCAGAGAAGAGGACACAGCCGCCGTTTGAGTGTCAGCTGTTCCTCCAGCTTGAGGAGGAGCGACAGGAAATTCCGGTTGGGATAAATGGCTCGTTTTTGGACGACATGCCTCAGAGCATCTCTGAGAGGGAGACGCTGCCGCAACATGAAGTAAGCCAGCACCAAAGTGGCTGATCGGCTCATGCCCATGATGCAATGCACCAACACTTTCCCTGTAGAGCAGGATGGAGAATGAGAGAGGAAATAGAACAGCTACATTATAAACGTTTGGGTGTCACATTCATATACTGTACCATCTTTGCTCTTCAGGGCTTTATGTATGAAGTCAGCCGCAGGCTTTAAGTACTGACTGAGATCGAAGTGGTCTGAATCCTCTGCTGGGATGCCAAAGTAAACGCAGGTGTCCCCGTAAAAACGCTGGTCACCGATGCTGCCCTGCTTGTAGTGCGCAGCATTCAGGACATGAGTGATGCCAAGTTTGGGTAATTTTTTTCTATTCTGTGCAACGGCCCTGGAACACACACAAAAAAGGAGACGAACCAAGGGAATAAAGAGGAAACGTGTCAATGGATGATGTTAAGATGCAGTTACACAGATTCAGCACCAAGCTAGTAAAAATGACCAATTTCTCTCTTGTAGAGCTCATGACGGTTTCTGCAACAGCCTCTATAAACACAGGACACTCACACATTTCCTATGTACAGGTTGGGCCAGACTTCATCCACTGGCGTGAGCTCCAGTGTGCCGGAATCCAAGATGACCTCCAGTTCTTTAATAAGCACCAGGTCATGGTTGCTCCCTGACATTTTCCCCGGACACGGAGAGCTCCTCCAACAGACTGTTTCCACCGTCCCTTCACTACCAGAGTCTGCAGCTCAGTGAGGGATGAGAGCAGGTGGTTGTTTGAATGCCACTTGCCTCTAAAATTAGCTCCCTGTGTTCGGTGAGTTCCCTCTGACTGGATGTAGAGTTACTTAATGTTGCTGTTGCATTGATTGGTCTGTTCACCGATGCCAAAGGAAAAGACAGTGACTTTCTCTGTGGCCACTGAGGTCACATCAGGAAAGGATAAGGGAGGGGAGGGGTGGACACAATTGAGCTGTTTAGTGTATACATGGTACAAATGGAGACAGTCTTGCATGGTGTGAATGAGGACAATGAGACTAAGGGAGGACAAGTCTATGGATTTATCACAGGGTTGCTCGTCGCTTTGTTTTATTTAGCCTCATTCGACCCTTCGCCCTGCAGCCTTCGGTCCAGGGCTATAAGCTGTCCCAGGAAGCCTCTGTTTGGGAAAATCCAGCGTTTCTGTTGCACACAGCGTGTAGAGGACAGAAGACTGAGTTGGTGATGAATCATCAGGTAGGCTAGGACCAACGCAGCTGAGCGACTCACACCCACAGCACAGTGCACAAACACCTTCCCTGGACGTCACGAAAGAGACAAAACAAAGATGCTGAAGATGCAGGTAACCCCACAGTAATACTGGAAAACATGTGTGGCAGCTTACGGCACCTCCTGATGTCAAAGCCTGGTGGATGAACTCAGCAGCAGGGTGGAAAAAAGGTGAAAGGTCAAATGTTGGCAGATCGTTGGCTGGGACGCCGTAGTATCTCACTGTGGTTCCATAAAAGCCATCACTGCCCTTACAGCACAGCTTTCCGTGCGCTGCGTTCAGCACATGAGTGATGCCCAGCTGCCAGAGCCCCAGCCTGTCATGAGACATAACCCTGACACAAATACCACATTTGATGCACAATTCAGATGCATATTGATGAACCTAAATAAGGCTCGGGATACTCACATGTCCCCCAGATACAGGTTGGGCCACACCTCATCTCTGTGGCGACAGGAGCGGGGAGCTGAATGCAAAACCTCCTCCAGCTCCTGGAGAGACGGAGTCGTCCACGTCCTCTTTGAGTCCTCTGTCGCACATGAGCACTCTTCCTCCTCTTCTGGGTCTGTGTTGCTGGCAGTTCTCTGCTCAGAGTCTCGACCGTCACATCTCACCTCAGAGAACAGTTGTGTGTCTGTCATTCCCAAGTTTAAATGGTGTAAAACCACTGTTATTTCCTTGCTGCTGTCTGTTGCCTTTGCTTTGGCTGCTGCAGCCTCTGACTGTCATAAACAGGTGGTGCAGTTTGGCACAGACTCACAGTCAAACTGCTAGAAATGTGGTTGTAATTACATTACTGTTTGTGCTGTCAAATTCAAACCAATTAGTCCATTTAATCCACCTTTTTTTTTTTTATGCAGAGAAACATAACTTGTGAACTGATCCGAGTTTTACCCAAACATGGCCAGCAGGTGTCAGTGTGCTTTCAGCAGCCGCACATGAGCTCGGCAGCTCTTCTTTACTGGTGTTGTTTATGATTGTCTCTTCCTGTTTGGTGTTTCTTAGTTGTCAGAAGCATGTTGGCCATGAAATACCCCCAGAGAGACAGCTCATCTACACCCTCTGCCAGCACATGACAGTGGATTGATGGTAAGAGAGGCGACTATCATCTTTTAAAGTTAGTTTGAAACTACTACATGTACTTCCTGTGACTTGTTTGTTCTCATTTGTGCCTTTGCTTTTTGTTCAGGCATAGAAAGTAGTGTTTAAACTTTTCCATACCAGCATAGAGATGTGACTGAATTGCTTAATCTCATGGTGAAATGTAGCAGTCTGGTGTGTCTTTGTGGTGCTGTGGTCAACAGACTATGAGCCCTTTGTCAAATTGTCTCTCTCTCTCACACACACACACACACACACACACACACACACACACACACTGAAGGTCTTTCTCTCTCACAGCTGTGTGTCACTGCTCACTGGCTCACACTGTAAACCAGCTAAACAAGCTGACATGGCACTTATGAATCCCCAAGTAAAGCCTCGGGTGGAGAAGCTGCAGGATGTTGCCAGTAAAATCTAAATGCCAGTTAAAAATAACTTATTTCTCAGTGAGGGAACACAGCAGCAGCTACCCAGGTGAGTTGCTTTAGGCTTCAGACATAAGTATGTGATATGGATGAGCGGATTAGCTGAATTTGACTGCCCATCCCTCGCTCGCAGTCAGCCACTGTATGATCTGCATTATTGAGGGTATACAACTAACTTGAGTTGGTGTGATGATCTTTGGGAAGTTACTGAGAAAATCTCATTTCCTGCTGCGTTTGAAACCGTGTGTTGCAATCAATAGTGTGATGTCATATTATGTGTGGCTGTTACTTTAAAGGTGACACTCCCTAGAAAATATGAGTAATGTGTGAAACATTCATTGATAATCCATCTCAAATACATTCAAGTAAGTTACAGTAAACAAGTGTTTCACTTAACTCGTATCGAAACCTTTAAGACTAGAATAAAATGTTTGACGATATTTCAGCTGATGTTTTTTGGTCTTGTATCGCAACACTGACAATGTTTTGAATCAAGCTGAAGCAGTTGATCAGTTTAGCAGATTAACAGATACTTGTTGAAGTCGTTTTTTCATTTGATGGTTCAAGCTTTTGAAATATGAGGATTATGGCTGCAAATAACCATTATTTTCTTTATTGATAAATCCGCTCACTTTTTTTTTTCACTCGGTGATTCATCAATTTACAACAAATTCTCACACTAGAAAAGCTGATGTCATCAAATATTTGACTTTTTTGCTTGAATAAATGGTTTAATCGATGATCAGAATAGTTTTTTTTTATTTTGTTGCAGCTTTAGTGAAGATTAGCTGCTTTTCTTGTTTTACTTTACAGTAAAATTGATGTTTTGGACTGTTGGTTTGACAAAAAAATGCAGCTTTGGGATGTGACTTTATCACAAGATCAAACATATAATTGTTTTATATTTAATAATCATTAGTTGCAGCCCTAATATTTGAGTAGTTTCCAGATCCAGTAAGTCATCACAGAGGAGACCTAGTCTGTAATTCTGCTTACACAATTACTGTAACTGTTTAGATGACCAGCTGTAAAAATACTGACTCTCATCATAGTAGTATTCTTTGATAAGTGCAGCACCTCCCTACAAACCAAGGGCTGTCTCGTGTATTACTGATAGCTGAAAGCTGCTTACTTGGATGATTTTAAGTCTGTGTCAGCATGTAGACTATCGCTCACGTTCAACAGTTGAGAGTCGTGTTGGAGACCTTTGGAGCAGTCGGGAGGACATGGTGATCAGAACTGTGGTGAGCTTATCAGAGGGTCAAAGGGCAAAAACGAGGAAAGGAAGAGTGTTTGATTAGTACCTTTAGTCTGTCTGTGGGAGAGGAACTCTGTTTTGTGGATGGTTTGTGACTCACTGCTTTTCTAATAGTATTATTATTATTATGAAATATCACTTATGGAACAGAGTTCACACTCAGGATGGGTTGAATTCCTGTTAGTTTGTCTTGGTTTGAGCCTGCTTCATGTGGATCAGGGTATCATACTTATACTGAAAGCCAATGCTCTGCAGGTCACAGACCTGAACACAGATGCCGGGTCAGTCAAGTCAAATAAGTGCTCAAACAAGCAAGCTTGAACAACAGATGCTTGGAGATTGTGCTTGAAAAATCACTAAAATTATTGATTGATTATCAGAATTGCAGATAAATGTCAACTAATCCTTTCGTCTCTAATATATTGCAGATTTTATAACTTTTTGGACTGTTGGATGAAGACATCATTTTGGGCCTTTTTATAAAACAAGACATTTGAAGATGTCATCTTTGGAAAAATGTGATTGATTTGATATTCTCTGACTTTTAATAGACCAGACAAAGAATTGATTAATTGAGTCGTGGCCCTAACTCATTAATTCAAAGGGTAAATTGTCGTGATCAAAAGAATGCAAATTGGATAGAAATGTAAATTACTTTCAGACACTTTTTCATCCAAACATTAGACTGGCAGTGACACAGACAGTGATGAAATCAAGAGGTGAAAACGAAGTGGTGCTCCTTCATCAGATTGATTTATCTTCCTCAAGCCCTACATGACCTAACACTGTACATGTCTGTTCCTGCAGTGGCATGGCAACATCAGAGGACAGCGTGAGCTCCTGGAGCTGTAAGCAGGTGGCCCGGTGGCTGCAGGTGGAAGGTTTCGGGGAGTATGTGGAGTTATTGTGCGAGCAGCACCGCCTGGACGGCCCCAGCCTGCTGGCTCTGACTGAGGCCGACCTGCGCGGGCCTCCGCTGGGCCTCTCTGTGCTTGGAGACATCAAGAGGCTGATCATAGCCCTCTGTCGGCTCCAGAGACAGAACCAGACCCAGCTGGAGGAGCTGGGTCTCCCCGCTGGGCTCTCGCTGGGGGCCACAGGGGGCGAGTGGAGCTGTGACGGAGACGACAGGAGGTACAACGGAGGTAATCGCTTGAGTAATGGGACTGAGCTGAGGTTGAGGAACGGCGACAGATCTGGATACGATTCTGTGTGTCATACACACTCCAACGGGAGGTATAGGCGGCACCTGGCTGGCAGATTGGACCCAGAGGTGTGGAAGACAATCATCAGTTCCATATATGTCTTTTTTGTGTTTGGATTCACTTCTTTTGTCATGGTCATCGTACATGAGCGTGTCCCGGACATGAGGACGTACCCACCGCTGCCTGATATATTTCTGGACAGGTATAAATGCATGCTGAACAGACTCCATAGTTCATTTACACTTGTACTCTCCTGCACTCATATCTAATCTGCCCACTGATGCACGTGTTTTTGTACTCTTGACAGTGTTCCCAGAATCCCTTGGGCTTTTGCAATGGCTGAAGCCTGTGGCCTCATCCTGTGTTACATGTGTCTGCTGGTCCTGCTCCTCCACAAACACAGGTAGTCCAACCGTTCCAGCTCTTCCCGTCGCTGATGCACTCTGCACACATCACCGCTAAAATACACAGACCATCTGAATGCATGCAGGTTAAGAAGTGCTGTGCAAGGAGCGCTTTGTGAATGTTTGTCTCTATTTCAGGTCCATTATCTTCAGACGGTTGTGCTCTTTGATGGGAACTGTGTTTTTGCTTCGTTGTTGCACCATGTTTGTCACCTCGCTCTCTGTTCCTGGGCAGCACCTGAAGTGTGCCAGCAAGGTGGGAAGCACTCGTGAGAATATTTGCTAGTTTCCCAGTAAATTCTTGTTGCTATTGGCAATGTTGCAGTTTATTCTTGACTCGGCATTCTCGCTGTGATAACTGATGAACAGCTGCCAGTGTGATTCGCAGCGTGACTGATAACTGTTGTTTTTTTTTTTGTTCCCCAGACGTACGGTGATTCCTGGGGAAAGATCCAGAGGGCGCTGCTGATCTGGAGTGGAGGTGGGATGACGCTGACGGGTGTCCAAACGTGTGGAGACTACATGTTCAGTGGACACACTGTTGTCATCACATTGCTCAACTTTTTTGTGACTGAATGTGAGTGTAAACTCTTTTATTTTCCTTCAAAATGTTTGACTTTCGAGTATTTCAGTTCAATTAAATTCAATTTTATTCGCATAGCCCAATATCACAAATCACAAATTAGCCTCAGAGGACTTTACAGTTTATACGACATGTGACATCCTCTGTCTTTTCTTAATGTCAACTAATCCCATGAAGATCAAAACAAATAATGTTTCAATCCTTCTCTCACTACTTTCTAACTTCCTTTTTTTGTCCGTGACTCTCAGATCCAAGCCCACTGGTTCTGTATTGGAAGGATGCTTTAAGAATTGGTCACACATTTTTTTTCAAAAAAGGCTCAGTCATTTCCATAAACAGCTGGGCACTGTAGTGTTTAGTAAGCATTTCTCAAACAGGAGTAAATAGTGTGTTTATTGGGGACTATTTTCAGAATAAAGGTACATTTACAGTAGCACAGTGATCGACTCAAAATAGACGGTACCCATGTTCATTATAATGCAGGAACATGTCACCCAGTGCAACAATCTGGCTCACTGATGTGTTTTTAATAGGTTTTGGACGACACAAAGGAATAAGCTTTGAATACCCTGGGTACTGTTATATTTAGTGAGTAAATTGTGCGTTTGTTGGGGACTACTTTCAGCCATGGATTACTACGCATTTGCTGGTCAAGTCAGTATTTACAGCAGGAGGATAGTGTAGATGAGATTGTTTCAACATAACTTACAGTGCTTGTGTTCAGCTTCCATGTTTATGCGACATCAAGCTTTTGCTGATTTTGGGATTTGCTGACGATAAGAAAAATGTAAACATCTGTATATTTATCCTTAAATGATTCCTTCCAATTGCAGACACTCCACGAACCTGGAATCTGATTCACACCATCTCCTGGGTGTTAAACCTGTTTGGGATTTTCTTCATCCTGGCGGCTCACGAGCACTACTCCATCGACGTGTTCATCGCCTTCTACATCACCACTCGCCTCTTCCTCTACTACCACACATTAGCCAACACTCGGGCCTTCCAGCAGAGCCGGAGGGCGCGCATTTGGTTCCCCATGTTCTCCTTCTTTGAGTGCAATGTGAACGGACCGGTCCCCAACCAGTATCACTGGCCCTTCAACAAACCTGCCTTCATGAAATCTCTGATTGGATAGAGGAAGCTGCAATGTACATGGACTGTACTGTGAATCAGTGTATTTCCCAAAATGTTGAACAATTCCTTTGAATTCAATTTTACAGTTCCACCATCAGAAACAAGAAATGGGGTTTGTTATGGGGCACAGGTGCGGATCATTTTCTTGTAGATTTATTTGCCTTTGATTAATAATTTCCATTGTTCATGTTCCACTTTGGAGGTGTTTAAGTTTCCCTGGTTTGGGTTGTTAGTCTCCCTCAACATCTGCAGTAGAAAACTGATACGGCTTCACACAGTTGCAATGAAGTTTGATGCTGTAGTTTTGCTGCAAAGAGATTCAACACCTGGTTGAGTAACTACTAACAAAACAGGAAGTTATTTCTTTTGATGTGCAAGTGGAAAAGCACTTCCTGTTCTCTGCTGAAAGAGCTCTGTTTTATTCACTCTTTCTTTCTTTCATTTGCACTTTATAAGGTGAACTCTACAGCTTTGTTGTGTTTGATGTCATCACCATTGGGATAGTGTAGCTCCCTACATGTACTCAAACAAATATCAAAACACTTATTGTCATGTTCACTTTTGTCATTCAGCCCTTAGTATAACTATGTTTTTATCCTAATTTGATGCTGTGTTGTTTTTTTTACTAATCGTTAAATATAAAATGAGTAAAGAAATGTGTAGAGATGGATTTTGTTGAAGCTTTGTTGTCCACAGTTTTCCTCTGTTGCACAGTATAAACTGGCTTTTTGGATAACAAAAGTTCCAAAGTATATTGTTTACTACGGTATGGTTGCTCCAAACTAAATCTTTTTAATAATTGTTTACAATGCGTGGCTTTATTTGCAATGCAAGTGACTTATGGATGCCTTTTGGCTCAGCAGTAAAGGTTTACAGATAAGTTTACAGACTGTTTTTATATTTGAGACTGTTTTCTTGGTTGCTTTTTCAATAATGTAATTATTTTTGCATTTGTTGAATAAAGTCAATTAAAAATATTATTAGAAAAATCCAGACTTTATTTTTGTAAAACTCAACACAGTATCTATGGGTGGAAGTGATTCAGTGAGGTGTGCCCTTAATATCAACATGCTTCTCTTAACCACCTTAAAACAAATAGTTGATAACAGTCACACTGCTATTCAAATATTATCAATAAAGATATGCAGGGGTGCACACCTAAGTATAAAGCCTCCATTAGAGAGTTCTCACTCAGATCAGCTTCCTGTTCACCGGCTCACATCACATCTGAGGATGGTACGTAATTTACACCTTACAATTAGGGAAGCTATGAAAATGTATTATTAATTTCAGGTCTTGTATTGTGGTTTAACTTTTTTTTTTTATTAAAAAAATGCTGTACAGATGTAAATATTGATAGCTATATTTTACGGCCAATAATTCATTCAAATTGGAGTGCACAGTTGACCTTTACAGTTACCTAGTCCTGCAGGATTCAATTTAAATCCCACTGGTAAAAGATAAATCAGCAAGTAAAGTCAGATATGGTGATTACTCTTCACATAATGATTACACACTTGTGAATACTGAAGATAACGTACAAATAATTGAAGTGATCTAAAATACTTTCTTCTTTTTTTTACAAATCTTGAAATCTTGTGCAGACTAAATGACCAATCTATTTTTTACACACAGTATGTTGCAGACGTGTTTTGCATTCAAATTTATACATAAAAGTGCCTTTTGTATAATTCTGAATAATTTGTAACAGTGGCAAATCCCTTAGATATATATGCAAATAGCTACTATCCTAAAAGCTACTGACTCAAACATTTATTTTCCCTTTTAGGGTTTTTACATAAAAACTCTTTCACATAAAATGATTGGCTGTTGTTTGTTTGACCACTGTCAAACAGAGGCATGAACAAAAGCTACTCATTTATTTTCAATTTTTAGGAGATCTTAAAAGGATGACAAAGAAGTGCATACATGCACTGCAGAACCTATAAAACAGGTAGCATGTTTACAGACGTCTTTTATTTCACCCTTTCAGGCTTCTCTCCGTGTTTTTGTTTGTCTGCTGGGACTGGTTGTCCTTTGCCACTCTCAATGCTTCTTCCAGGCGTTGGTGCTGAAAGATCTTAACAACCCTCCAAAAGGTGTGTCGACATGATAACATTTGGAAGAGACACAATACAACAACAGTGTGGCACCATCAACCAGCTGTTGTGTGTTTGCTCAACACCTGTCAGCTGACTCAACACTTATCATAAATACCACACCTGTGCACTCATTGATTCACACACAATAAGTCACTACACAACTTTATCAGAGCCTGATAAGTGGCTGAACAGCTCCTATTAACTGCGTTTTTTCTTTCTTTACATGTAGGGTGTGTGGACAAGGACGGAAAGCAGCATGATTTTGGCTCTGAATGGGACAGAGACTGCATGGCGTGCTCTTGTACAACCCAGGGCTTGAGCTGCTGTAGCAAGTAAGATTTACATGCTTTGATTTAATACATTACACCTTTTATTTTCAAGCAATCCTCTAGTGGACTGTATGGAAATTATTGGGGCAGAGAGGGGGGGCTAAACCTTATGTCCATGATATGTCTATTATTCTTCAACCAACACTTGTCACACATGATAACAAATGAAAGATGTGTGTATATTCTGTGTTCCACCAAACTGGCATATTACTCCTGTTAGCTGCTATTTGATTGTCATATTCAGAGGACGGCAATCAGTTGTTAGTTGCCCTCTGCAAGTGCAGCTTTCTGAGCCATTTCTTGCAAAGAAAGTCTGAAATATAACACAACTTTGTAGTAAAAAAGAAGACACAATCCCCTGCTCTCAAACAGAAAAACGTCTCCCCTAATAAATTCTGTATAGTCCCTAATTTGTGCAAAAACATTTTAAGAAGACAGTAATAAGAAAGTAAGAAGGGGTAATATTCTGTTTTTTTGTCCCTCAAGGATCCCATATGCAGACACAGTAGATATTCCTGATGAATGCGAGCTGGTTGTAAATAAGGAGACCTGCTCTGCCAAGGTGTTGTTGAAGTCAGACATGACAAAAGAGTGTACCCCAATGTGAACTCACCTCAAATTTACCTCTACATGTTTGTGAAAACAGAAGTCCAAACTTGTCAGCGGTCTTTTTTATGATTCATATCAACAATTTTAGGGTGTGTACATAAACCCTAAATCACCATTAAACCATCTTTGTCAATCTTGTCATGTTTTGAAGGCTTTTGACAATAAAGATAAAACCTAAAAACTTGACTCTGTTTCTTCTTGCCTGCTTTCTGTCTCTGTAACAGCACCTACAGCAGCTGTCATTTTCAGCATGTAATTGAATAAAACCACCACTGTGTGACAGCAGAGCCCAATGCTCAGAGGGTCTCTGGCACCCAAAGGTCTCTTACAGCCCGATTCTAGTGGAGCAACAGCCGCCTGTTGTCTCTGACAGAAACGTTGTGGCGGGTGTGATGCTCAGCGCCTTCTCCAACTCTCATCTCTGTGGATTCACATCTGTCCAGAGCGTCGCTTCCTCTGTCATCTTGGCATCACAGACACTCCGTCAGCGAACCCACCACGTGAGTGCTCTATTTTTGACAGATAGTAATGATCTATAACGCACAATAATGATCTTTGTCAGTGTCTTTTTTTAGTTAGATTAGATCAATTATAAAATCAATGCTACAGTATGTTGTTAAAGCTACAGTCCGCTTGCAGCTTTTTGTCCACAGATATGCATGTATACTGTATTCCTGCAAATGTTTTTGAATGATGCATTGAAACAATAGCAACCTACAGAACATTTTTTCTGAGAATATGCATCCAATTTCAGCAGGTAAACTGAAAAAGAAAAACATACATATAATATATGTTAATGCAATCATGTTTAATGTACCTTGTGGAAAGCCCGTCTCCTGACAGCATTCATAATGATAATGTCTTGGGAGCTATCACCCACTGTTCCTGGCACATAATCAGGCTCGGGTCATCATTTCAGGTGGGGAACACAACACCGTCTGTTATGCTGCTCCTCCACTCGCAGGAAGCAAGAAAATTGTTTCTGAATAGTTTCATCAACTGGGTGTGTTGGATATGACTGCAAAAATTAATTTACAACCAACGGATTCCAGTAAGTGGTAATATTCACTGGTGGTCAGGTGTAAAGCTGTAATAAAAAGGGAAAATATGTTTTTGAGAAATCACACTATAAAAACAGTAATCTTTTAAGATACACATATTATAGGAATTTTGCACAGTGACTATGATATACTATAGCATTTAGAGGTTAGGCTTTCTCTTTGATTTCCTTTCAAGCACATACATGCAGGCTGACTCCTTGTGATTTCTATTTTCCCACATATTTATTTATAGTATAATTGTCTAATTCATGACAAGCAAATCCTCTTGTCACACCCTCCAGGATTGCTCAAATTGGATCTACAGTACAGACCTTGAAATTAGGTCACAAAGTTTCCAAATCTAAAAGGAAACTTGCATGAAATGCAATGGTGCAGTCACAAAAAGACCATCTTAACATGCCATGGCATTGCTACAGAGAATATTTGATGGATAAAGAATAAGTGAAATTGTCATGCAGTGTGACGAAATGCTTTATCAAGAAACTACCACAAAGACAAAAATATTGACAATGTAGGTTCGTAAATGAAAATGCATTAGTGCATAGCACGACTGCTCTCAGAAAAATACAGAAGACAGAATCAATGTGAGCCTGGTTCAAGAAAAAATGACAGTCAGCTGCAGTCTCTCTGCACTGTCATTATTTTTTCTCTGAGATGGAGGACACTTCGCTGAGGCGGAAAAGAAGAATATGATGGACAGAGCAGAGCGGTGCCAGGTCATGGTGTTCCTTGTCCTGCAGAGATTGTGTTTCGGAAAGGGGACAATAATGATAACACAGCTACTTTTTGGATGTGCGTCCCAGTGTCACATCATTGCAACATGTTCAGGTTCATAATTGCCTACTAATGGGACAGTTCTCCTTTTTCTCCTGCTGGTGTTCATGATTCCTCTGCTCTGTTGCAGCTGTTTTGTTACATCTGGTTACCGGTGACATTGCACTTGCCTTTCCACCATGAACAAAGGGTGATCAATGCTGTACCACCCTGCCTGCAGCTCACTCAACACACTGACAGAGTTGGTTAGTAATGATGCAGTGTGAAGTGACTGATAGCTAAGTGTGTGTGTGCCGTTAATGGAAAATGACAGGCTCATTTTCTTCGCGATGCTGGTTTTCACAGCACATGGCAGAGGTTTCAGGGGAGAGAGCTGGAATCCATTTTTAGGATTCTGACAATGTCATGCCCTTTCACTCCGTGACATACTACATCATTTATTGTGTACGTGATAAATAGAAGTCTCTGCTCCAACGTATGCATAGTAATTTTTTTGTCATTAAGCTATTATGCTCAGACTTGAAACCTGACTGGAGGGTTCATTTGTGGGAGGAGAGCTGACAAGTCTGAGATCTTAAGATTGGTAAAGAAGAGAAAGAGAGTGATTATTAAGACCAAGGACTGGAACTACTCTGTGCAACTACAGTAGTATAAAATACTAAAACTAAAGCGAAAAAATGACCTTGTGTACATGACGATCACATTTGGCAAATTATAAACTGTGTAAACAGTTTAAGTGCTTCATAATATAAACCTCATAATGGTGAGTAACATTTTTACAAGTGTATTTTGTGGAAAATTAACTCAAAAAAACACGTAGCACAAATGTTGATAGTTTTTTTGGCATTGAAGGTAGTTTTTGCAGTATTGGACACATCAACATTTTTTATAAGTGATGACCTGATGATGGCCCTTAAGACAGAGAAGTCATATCAATTCGTCCACCGGGAACAGTGAATTACTAATAAAATACAATTTCATGGCAATCCATTTAACAGCTGTTCAGACAAACTGACATTGTCCTCCAAACCAGCCATGTCACCAGTATGGCTAAAGATAGAAGATAAGGGCATGCTTTAAATTGCATCTTTCCCAAACTCCTCAGCCACAGGATCCACTTCTTGCCTGTATTTCACTCTCTGCTTCTCTCAGAACAACAGTATCACTTCCACATGAACACACCTTTTGACTTATAAGAGGGATTGCTGTGCAAGTGATCACTGTTTTTTTCTCCCTGTGTCCCTCTGTGCTTTCTATCTCTTTGTCTCAGATACATATTTTAAGAGGAGTGGGATGGACAGTTTGATCCTGGGGGCTGGTGACACTGAAGTCCTGGTGAGATGTCCTTTAGTGGCAACGAGATCCAGTCTTCTCCGTCAACAACAGCTCCAACTCTGCCCTTCAGCAGATCCACCTCTCCACATTCCCTACCATGGGAGGAGGGAAAAAACACTAATGAGTCTGTGCAGGAGTGGTTGGGGAATAAGACCCTGCTCCTCTCAGACCTCGCTGTTGATGAGCAGTGCCCTATGTCTCCTGTCCTCACAGGGTGTCTAGTCGTGTGGTACAGCATGACAATGGTGCTGGGGCTGGTGGGGAACATCGGCCTCATCTGCATCATCGCCCGTTGCAGGGAAAAAGTCAATGTCACTGGCATTTTCATCTGCAACCTGTCATTCTCTGACATTCTAGTGTGTGTCTTCTGCCTCCCCTTTACTGTCATTTACACGCTAATGGACCATTGGGTGTTTGGGTCGCTGTTATGCCGGCTGGTGCCGTTCATCCAGTGTGCGTCTGTGACCGTGTCTGTGCTGTCTCTGGTGTTCATTGCTCTGGAAAGACATCAGCTCATCATTAACCCCTCTGGCTGGAAGCCAAGCATTTCTCAGGCCTACATTGTGGTGGTTCTCATTTGGATTCTGGCCTGCTTCACCTCCTCACCTTTCTTGGCCTTTCAGCTACTCACTAGCGAGCCCTACGTCATCCTGCCCCAGTCTCCGCTCCATCACCGAGTCTCTCCTCAGGCTTATCTCAATGCATCTCCACCTCAACCTGTTTACTACACATACAAAAACTCATCTGCGCTTCCAAATTCATACCACACACTTTTTTCTTATGCCCCCGCTTCTCCACACATGGTGGCCTGTCTGGAGCACTGGCCTTCCCAGCAACACAGGCTTGCTTACACCACATGGCTCCTTCTGTTCCAGTACTGTGGTCCACTATTGTTGGTCCTGCTCTGTTATGTTAGAGTTTATGTGCGCCTTCGCCAACGCAAAGACATGCTGGACCGTGCCAGGACACCAGAGAGCCAGAGCATGACTCACAGCCGCCGAATCAACATCATGCTGGTCGCCCTCATCACAGCCTTTGCTCTTTGCTGGCTGCCGCTCACCATCTTCAATGTGGTGTCAGACTGGAACCAGGAGGCTCTGCCCATCTGCCATCACAACCTGCTGTTCTCCCTCTGCCACCTGCTGGCCATGTCGTCCACCTGCATTAACCCCATCATCTATGGCTTCTTAAACTCCAACTTTCAGCAGGAGGTGAGAGAGGTTCTCCTACACTGCCGCTGCAGTCAGCTAGAGGAAGAGTGTGAGCGTTTCCCCATGTCCACTGTGCACATGGAAGTGTCCCACATCTCCGTGCCTATTAGCTGCAGGAGCAACTCTTTAATATTACAACCTGAAGGATCCTGCTGTAGTAGGATATAGTCACATAAACTGTAAAGACTAACTTCTGCTGTTTGTTCTACATTTTAATGAGAGTAGCCTACAATAGCTTTGACATTGACTTAAAGTGCAACATTTTTATCAGTGGTCTGAAATGAAGTGTGCTGTACAATGTTGGTTTATCTTATTCTGCTGTAGAAAAAAGGAGTGCGTTAATGTTTCTAAAGAAAGTGTCATCATTTCAAACTAATCTTTGCTGTGTCCCTATTAGACGCTTCATACTAACTGTATACAGTATTTCATAAAGTAAACCGCTTTTTTTGAAGACAGTATCCATGATTTTATTTCCATTTTATACTAACAGGAACTGATCAAAAGTGTCCCCCGTTGGACGTCAATTAAACTGTGACTTTGGAGAGCTACTGCCCCACCACGATCATCAAAACACCAAAATGAGGCCTCCAGTGGAATTCCAGAGATGGAAGTTGTTCTCGAGGCTTGTGGTGAAGCAAAGAACTATTAAGAAACTTTTGTATGTTGTTTTTTGTAGTGCTTCTGTTTTATTTCTTACATTTTATTTGTTCTTTTGTATATATGACATGTGTGCAGTGAATTAATGTGTAATTTTTGTGATTAATGTGACTCATAAAGGTAAGGTAGATGTAACAGTTTATAACAGTGTTAAAATATAAATTTGCTTTAGATGAGTTGAATAAATAAATAAATAATACCAAATGTGTTTACACTTGGCTTTTAATTGAATTTAAATTCTGTGTGACTCAGGCCAATGTAGCCATCTATATATGCCTGGTTTAATAATACAATCTTCCAAAACATTGTCGCTATCCAACCTGTTAAGACTGTCAAATGCATATTGTTTACCGTGTGTTGTATATTGTTTGACTTGTCTGAGGCAGTCTGTGTCTGCAAAGACAATCAGATGTCTGTTGAGGTAATTATAGTTTTTTTTACATATTTATGAGTAATGATGACAAGGACAACCAATTAACACCAGGCTGTGTTTGATGGTTCACATTGACTTAATAATTTGTTGTTTTTAAAAACACGAGTACCACCTGAACACCAAAGAATTTGAAAAGGTTACCTGAATTGTTGGCATGGAACCATATTCAACAAGGCCAACCTCAATCCAGGACAGTGGTGTCTGCTTGAGGTTACACGGTTTCAGTGCATTTGACATATTCCTCACTCAGCTCTGTGCTTTTCATGTAAAATGTCACCTGAAATACATTTTCATGGGTTTGACTTTGGTTTAAATGTGTGACAAGGGTTTGTTGAACATGGAAAATAGGCTACACATCATTGTCCTATGAACTTTTGACTTGAATACCTCACTCCAAGCTTGGGCTGAATCTAAATTTAGGGCCACACATCATAAAACTACTTGATGAATAAGGCCTATAACATAAATATTTTCCACCACTTTTAATCGTAAATTAAGTATTAATTTTTACATAATAGTGTGGTTGTCTATCAAGATAGAAGTAGCAAAAATACTCCTGAAAGTCTCGTTTGTTCACGGTCGAGGTTTAAAGTAGACTTCTAAAGCGCCCTTCTCAAGGATGCTACCTTGTTCCCTTCACCATTGCATCTCGGCTGGAAGTGACGTTTGTCACCTATCAGCCAATGATGGCCCATGTCCCAGAATGCATTGCATCACAAACTGCACGCGCGAACAATGTACACTGCATTTAGGTATTTTTGGAATCTTGCGCAAGTTAAACCTCACTGTCACATAAAGTAAGTGCGCGGTAAATACTGTTGGTATCTATGTTCATGCCTTTGTCCTGCTAATAGTCAAAAATACGTGAAATACGTATGTCACTATATTACGGAAGTATTAGCCACACCAGCGTTATGCTAAGACAAAAACAAGTTTGTTAGCTCGCTAATTTAGCAACGAGATGTAGCGAAAACTAACGGAAAACAGTATCAACATTACTTGTATTTGATAGGTAATATATTTAGATATCTAACGATGTCTAATGTGTGCTTTAAATAATGAACGTTTCAGTTACTAACGTCATATAGGCTGTCTATAGTTAAACCATACGTTTGATAACGTCAATTGATTCACGATGTAAAGCTACGTTGCTAACGTTAGGTTGTGTAGTTAGCAAATGTTAAAACCAGTGTCAGTCATTGGGTTTACAGCAGACCACTGTACCTAAATAATGTGTTTTAATGATGCAGGTCGAGGTCGGTAGACACAAAAACATAGTTATTTAATGGCTGTTCATACACGCCAGTACGTCCAGTACTGTGCCATTAACGAAACATGTAACTTAGCTCACAGTCGTTAGTCAATAAGTTATTGGTAGAGTGACAGTAAGTATCTTCTCCCCTCGGGAGCGAAACAATCTGCTTCTCAAATGTGATGAGTTGCTTGTAAATCTCATATCTTTAAGATATGATAACTATATCAAAGAAAAATATATCAGTATTACTGTTTGTGGCTGATGGTCAGACAATGTCAACAGTGTCACTTTTGGCTGTGGTTACTTTTGGGTATTGGCCATACTTACTTGTAAGACTAATTCGGATAATCAAATCTATAATTAACAGAATGACTAAAGTGAAAATAATCCAGAGTTGCAACCCTGACCGTTACACTGATTGACTGTCAGGTTATTTTTTTCTGTTGTTGACCCCAATTGGTTTGTTCAGCATGATTAACTACGGGGGGTCACAAAGATGTTCTTCAAACTCAAGAAGTGTCTTCATTGGTTTTGTGTAGGTGAAGCTAAAGAGACCAGTAATGACCACAAGCGACAATGGGTTCAGTTCTTAAAGGTATTGTACATCATCTTAGTTTTACTGCAGTTAATCTAAGTCTAAGTTGAACTTAATTGTTTTTGTTGTACGTTTATGACTCTGTTCAATACATTTGCAGATGTCGTTGTCTACGTTGATGTGTGGTCATCAGACAAAATGGCAAACTATTCGAAACCGTTCGTTCAGCAACTGCAAGAAATGGGAGCTCGGGTGAGACTGCGAGGCACATTTATACACATTTGGACACTATTGCGTGCCATTGTGCACTTTGCAATGTCTAAATGCCTTTGTGTTTTCCAGGTATCAAAAACATTCAATAAACAAGTCACACATGTAGTCTTCAACAACGGTCACCCGGCCACATGGAGGAAAGCCAAGAAAAGTGACGTGAGGCTGGTCTCTGTTCTCTGGGTCGGCAGGTACGAAGGAAACAGAGAGAGCTTCAAAGATACTGTGATATTTATACTGTATTGTCATGAAGTGTTACATGATGTTGTTGTCAACCATTATTTGAACATTAATTGGGCTTATTTTTGGTAAAATGATGTCCAGATGTTACGATGACGGTGTCCGCGTGGATGAGGAGTTGTATCCGGCCTTTAATGATGAAAGCAATCCTATGTTGAAGAACAAGAGAGTGAGTCGAGTCAAGCTTTGTCTTTGAAAGTATTCAAACATGCGTTTATTTTCCTCTCATTCAAAACTTATTTTTTGTGTTTGGTTCACGTAGCATCGCTGCATGCAGCCAAAAGATTCTCCCGAGAGGACGCCTGAAAACGACAGACGCATGAGGAAAAAATTAGATAAGATGATGAAAGACCTAGTTCCAAAACAACCTCTCAGTAAGAGATTATTACACTTTTAGAAACTTTTAAAAGATCATTTTTAAATGACAAACTACATCCTTTTGATTTGCTTTTACCCACAGTTACAGATGTGTCGTCGCCCATCATTATTGATGAGGAGAATGGAATAGTCTATAGCCCTGCATTGAAACGATCAGATTACATGGCACAGCGTTTGAAAGACATGAAAGAGAAACGGGAAAACCTCTCACTCACAGGTAGGAGCAGCAGCAGCAGTTGTACCGGCTGATGAACTGACAAATGGAAAACCCCAGAAACTCACATCTGTATTTTCTGTCTCTCAGCTTCACAAATGGTTGAATCCTGCTCACCCACTGGGCTGAAGCCGTGTCTTGGGAGCACACCAACCATCCTCAAATTAATGTGTAAGGACATTTTGGTGTTACTAATGAATGGAAAATGGTATTGTTGTGTTGAAATCCAAGATAGCACTTGTACCTTGGCAAGAGCTTCTTGAAGTTGAGTCTCTGTTCTTGTACACTGCCAAACAAAGACAATCAACAGAAAGTAGCTAAACAATGCACAATATCCTTATTTATTTATTTATTTATTTTATGTGTATAGATGACCAGTCGGATGATGATTCCAGTCCTTCTGTTGCTGAACCTGCTTACTCGCCTGATAAAGAAGAAGGGAGAACGCAAGTTGATGTTACTGACCATGACCATCCCGAAGAGCGCCACAAGCCGTGGCTCTCACCCTGCCACGATGTGCCAAAACAGATCTCAAGTCATGTGGAATGTGAAGACTTCAAGGACGAAGACGCGACGAGACTAAAAAAGTCTAGAAGGACCTCAGTCAGACAAAAGCCAGTAGAGAAACACAAGTCCGTAGGTTCATTAGAAAGTCCGTCGAAGGATAGGAGGTCTGGCAACAGCAAGAGCTTTCGTGAAGAAAAAAGGCAATCGGAGATAAAATCCTCGAGTCCGTCACCTCACGAAACTGAAAAGGGAAAAATGAAAGCCGCTAAATCCTTTACAGAGACTAAGACGCATCTTTGTTCTGACGCTGCCTCTAGCTGCCTCTCATCACCGGCCGCATTAGGTGATGGTGCAGCTAAACTGTCAAAAGAAAGTACTTCCCCATTACAGAGAACAACGAAACAAGCCAGGCCATCCCTGTCTGCCTTGGTACGATCCTTCACGATATCCAGCGACTCTAGAAGTCTTCCCTCGGGTTCCACTGACGGAGACGATAATGTGTTCGAGGACTATTTCTCCCCGGCCAACCACCACCCGAAATCAAAAAGGCCGTTGCTTAATCTACCCGTGGAGAGAGACATTCAGATTCCTTTTGAGCTGGACTCTGTCCCACAGAAGAGAAAACTAAGCAGAAGTGAAAGCATTGGATCTGAAACGAAGAAAAATAAAAAGAAGATACTAGAAACAAGTCAGGCCTCTGACGCAAGCAGTAAGCCAAGATGTCACCCACAACAGGACGTTAAAGAACCTCTGCCCGCATCGGAGAGTCCAAGTAGCGATGTTACACTCGTGGCTAAAAGGCGAAGACAGAGCACCTTGCCCTTCATGAGCTCCAGCACGACCTCATGCGATACCGTGACACAGAGACGAGCGTCTACATCGGTACGGCCAACAGCGTCAACAGAGGCCGACACTGTATCGGAGGAAAACTCTGTGAATGTCACTTCTCATACCTTGGAAAGTGAGTAGTCGGGCTAGAATGTGTGTATCAATGATTTCCTCTATCGTCGTCACTGTGAACTGAACAAAACTAATAATTACTTAATGTTGTTTGAACATTCACAGTGGTGGGTGTTTGTGAATTGTGTCTGTAATCTTTGGGTTATGCGCGTGGTTTCAAAAGGTTTTGTAACGTAATTATTATTTCATGGAATTACGGATTTAGTCCAGCTCATTTTCTAAAGATTTATTTACTGGATGTCACATTTTAAAGAGAAGAATAAAGAGAAAACTTCAATCTAAATAAATGAGGCCTTTTTCTATGAATATACTTATAATATTCTGTATGTGTTTGTTTGTCTTTTCAAGAGTTTGAGACATGTTCTCCCCTTATGTCTCTGTGTTTCCTCCAACAATCCAAAGACGTGCGAGTTAGTTGAAATGAAGCTTTATGTGTGTTTGTTAGTCAGTATGTGACGGACTGGAACTATACGTGGTTATGAAACTGGAGACAGTTAGTGATGGAAAATCAGCCCTGAATATGTCAACGGGTCATTATTGAAATCTAAGACTTTAAAAAAACGTTACTGATGTAAAAGAAGCTTATCGCATCAGAACACATGAATAACTGAGATTTAGTGTTCAAACAACCCGTCAAATGAGCCACGGACATATTTAACATCTCATCAAAAACATGTTTATCTTGAAAAGCACGAGACCTGAGAATGTGTGAGTCAGCAGTTATTCTTTGAAATAATGGAAAGATTTGAATATGTTTAATTCCTAATAAACTGAAGTGAGTAGTCTGTTAATTATCTGGTAGTGAAGTGGTTTAAAAATGTGCATTTTACTGTTTTGAGCCAGGTGTAATGAAGAGATGAGAGATCAACACACACACACACACAGAGTGCCTGCTGTGTGATAGCTTGAGTGACACACCCCCCCACTGTCTTCAATTGTTCTTGTTTTCAGATGCTGGAGGAGGAAATGAACGTACAGTTGCAGCTGCTTTAACAGAGCTCCCATCTGAAGGCGAAGAAGAAAATGACAATAAGCAAGTCAGCTTGAGTCTTCAGAACATGGTTAACCAAACAAAGGTAAGAAGACACCGTGGCTGTTTTTAATCTCTAGTGTACATTCTGATGATTGATGTTTTTGCACTGAATCATAATGTTTTCCTCACAAAATTGTATTGATGTACAATTCCTTAAGTGTTGTGGGACTGCAAAAACCGGATGATCTGAGTATTAAGCTTACTGATTCATTAAATATACTGTTTTAATTAAATATCTCCCATTTAGTCATTTAAATACTTTTGTCCACCGTTGTGCAGATAGTTCACTTTGACACAGACAAATTGTTTTGTGTTCCTCACCCTTTCTCAATGTACTTGTGTTTGTACTTTATTTATCCTCAGACTCTACTGCAGCTGCAGAATTTGACAAAATTCCTGACGTTCATGGTTTTCTGTAATATAGGAAGTCCGGGAAGTAAACCAAACATCGGTAGCGTGTCGTTCCTTTTGAAGTATTTCCTCCGTAAGGTCACACACTTCCAGAGCTGGAGGCGGTTGACGCAGCTAGTCGAGAGGTTCTGTCTGGTCCCGAGGGTTTCCTGTGTTTTTGCCTCTCTGTGATGGTGGCCTACGACTTCCTCACTTGTGAAATGCACCTGGGCTCTGTTTTCGTTACGCCGGTAACCTCAGCAAGCTGTAGCTGAAAAAAAAAAAGCCAAACATGACGTCGTCTCCCCCGAGGGATCCGTCACGGGTCGACTTTATTGTAGCCTGATTACAGAGATGACGGTAGTTGTTGTGTAGCTCTCTAAAGGTCCAGATGAAAGATTCATGTTCAAATGTATCAGTGAACACATTCATCCAAACTGTTGGAGGTCAGCCTGCATGGATCACTGGTCTTTGAAAGTGCAGCTGGTGAGCAACGACTTTGGGTGAATACAGATTGAGATTGTTAGAGTAAAAAATGTTAATGCATTAAATGCAAATATTAACAGAATTATTTAGGCTGATTTTGTTCATTTTTAGCGGCATGTTATTCCCCATCACGCTCCTCTTTTCATCTCTCTGCTGTCAATCCTCTCAACCTAATTAGGATTTATTTAAATGTATCAACTTACGCACAGATGATGGTTCGAAGGTAAACTGTGTTTTTCACAAATCCTTTTAAGCGAAGATTCTTTCAGTAATAGCCAAGAGTCAGAAGAAGCATGTTAACTGATATGAGTAATACTGTAAGTGCCCGTGGTATTTTTCAATTATTGCTCTTCAGTTGTTACAAGTGGTTATCTGGTATTTCTTTTACTCATAACTGTCTTTTTTAAATTGCCTCTCACAGCTTCAGCTGACCTCCGTCTTTGCAGAGACCCAGGTTCCTCATCTCTCTCTTTGAGTTGTCTGAGTGGCATCATTTTCGTTTTGCGCAGAGTAGCAGCAATCACTCGTACAGTGAAGCATTTCCTTCATTTGTGCTCAGAGGCCGTGCTGCAGTTCACACCAGCTCTTTGTCAGAGGCTCATTATGTCCCCAACTCATTTTTCAATGTTTTTTTGTGCTGCTGCCAGAACACGTCCACTGCGTGAGAAAAGCCAAAGTCCACTTTGAGGAACCTGTAGAATAGCCGCACATGTTTTGAGTTGTTTGACTGAGTTTGAAAGACCCCAAAATGGGCGTATTTGAGCTGAAGTGTTAGAGGAGACCATTAACAAAGTCAAATATCAAAACATTTTTCCTTTTTTTGAAGAAAACTTCAGTCAGGACAGCCGAGTGAGCAGCAGTCGTGGGCTGATGGTAACCACCTCAATGTGATGGTGGTGTGGGAGGCGCCGTTAGGCCGTTTTGGCACCGCTGTGTGCAGAAGGCCTTAACCCCTGACCTCCAGCTGGGGGGCCAGATATCAGTATATAACAGTGTGGCGGGAAAGCCCCAGGGGTCCCGTCTGTAGCCGCTGCTCAGGTGTTTGTGTCGATGATGCTGTTATGGGGCCAAAGTACCAGGCTGGACGGGCCACAGTCGTCAGGTTACAAAGTTACAGTTCCGCTTCGGTGGCTCTGAATATGTTTTTCTCTCCACTCGTGGCCTTGGTGTTTGATTTCCTTTTTGGTCTCTACGCAACTATACATCCGGCAGGGTTGTTGAAAGTGCACGGCCTGTTTGGCTGGTGAATAATCATACTTACACCCAAAAGAAACATACATGCATTACATTCCCCAGTGTTCTTCATTAATAGATACTGTATAGGTGGCTGCTTTAAAGTATAGATCTGTTTTACATAGAGTTTCTGTGATTTTAACTCCTTCAAACACAAGCCGAGAAACAAATCTAGCCAAATCTGAGCTCTATAGCTGTTTACTTGTTTACCAAATATGTGGATATTGTGGAACCAGACAATAGGGAACACAACAGACTCATCTATCATAGACAAGTGCATAAGGGTTTCATTTGATTTCACTTCCAGCTTTGTCTAGTTGCTTTACAGTTGGATAATCTTTACACCATATATCGTATGGTGTTCCTGATCGTTAAGTAAAGAAAACTTTGTTTAACAACATGTGTTATCCTGTCATAAGTGTATTTATCTTTGTTTCAGGCGATGAGAACATTGGTCATGACAAGCATGCCCACTGAGTAAGTCCAAACATTTAAAACTGTTGGTCTCAAGACAAATGCCATAGATTGCAGTTTGAAGACATTGAGACATTGAGGAAGCTGATTAAAAAGATGTCTTGTTTAAGCCTTTGTGTTGGATGCTTTGTGCTCTACTCGCCTCTCGTAGGAAGCAGCACACGTTGGCTCAGGTGGTGACGACACTCGGTGGTTTTTCAATCGTTGACCGTGTGTGTGAGAGCACGACTCACGTGGTGTCCGGGGGTCACCGGCGGACTCTCAATATTCTGCTGGGCATTGCCCGTGGCTGCTGGATCCTGTCATTTGAATGGGTGTGTGTAGTTTGTGTGAGCTTCGAAGCCATGACATGATACTATTGAAAAAGATAAAATTAAGTGTCTTACTGTCGTTTATTTACATTTGTCCGGAGTAGATCCTGTGGTGTTTGGAGCAAAGGCAGTGGATTCCAGAGGAGCCGTATGAGCTTTCAGACCACTTTCCTGCAGCACAGGTGAGTACTAGTTCTACTTCAGTAGTACAATAGAAGTACCCAACACACGAGTACTACCAGCAGTATCCATCGCTGTAAACCGCATTATGTTTTCCGTTAGTGCAAACAATCACATACATTTTTAACTTTAAAATTTAAGTTTTACGATTCAATTTTTTTCTGTGTATCAATCATACAGTATAAATTATACTTGTGATGCCGCTTTTTGACATTAAAAGCTCGTAAAACCAAAGAGGAGGAAGTTGGCCGGGAACCTATTAATTTTCATTGCCAGTCATCCTTTTTCAGTTAGCTTGTTTTTCCTGAAGCTTCCTGCGTGAACTGTGAATGTTGCTTCTTCCTCAACTCGTCATTCATGAATCTCCGTCGGCTCCTGCTGACGCGAGGACAGACGTGGGGTATAAATGCAGACAAACGTCAACACATTTCCTTGTTTAATGGCATAATGGTTTTTCTAGTGAGACACAAAGTATTTTTTATGTCCCCACGGCCGTCTATCATTCCTTCGCTATCACTGCGCATCACATGCTTCCTTCTTTTATCTAGTTTCTGGACCCTGTTGACTTCAGTTGTATTAATTATAGAAACTACTGTTTAAACAGAGACTTTTCACAGTGCCTCTGTTCAAATACTGATGCCTGACCTCAGTAAGATTAAAAGACTAACACCTACATGTTACATGAGGCCAATGTTTGAGGCAGTTTTTCCATTTTTACCTTTAACTCAACAACATGGAAAATGTTACAAACCAATGATCAGGACTGATTTATAGCTGTATTGGATTGATCATTGATCATTGTATCATCTGATGAAGTACTATTCCTTGATTTGTCAAGTATTTAGCTCGCAGAATTAGCCAAAAAACCAGACATTCCCATGTGCCGATTTTATCTGTAAACAACCCCAAATTGACTGTCACAACACATCTCAGCATCGCTCTATAACATTACATAAACTGTGATAAAAGATGTTATCCACATTGTTAGCTCTGCCTATGTCACTCTTAAATGTGTTGTTAAACTGTGATTAGTGACCTAAAAAGCAACAACAAGAAATGCAACTTTTGAGCATTTAGATTTTTTATTTTGTACTTTGCTGTAGTCGTTGCTGGAGTGCTCTGGCAGTGCATCCACCAGGCTGTGCAGTGGTACAGTGAAGAACAGGGCTGTTAGAGTCGAGGCTTACGTCTTAAGCCCTCCGCCTTGTGGTTGTGTTTAATATTCAACTTCAGGTACATAACAGCTGGTAGAGCATAACAGGCAAACACGTAGCTTCTTACAGATTTATCATACATTTAGCTTGTTGAAGCTTCAAAAGAAACATAAATAAAGAAATACATTCCCAAAATACTGCAGAAAGAGATTCGTCAGGTGTGAGCATGTGGAAAGCTACTGCAGAATTATATTTATAGAATTCCTATTCGTGTGAATGTGCAATGAAATCATTTACTAGCCAGGACTCGAATTTCCCTCATATATAATGTTAAATATAAAACTTAAAAATCTACATATAAATTAAACAACAAATGTACATTCCCGGGAGAAAAAAAACACCTTGAGAGAAACATTTTCTGTGGCATTTTTTTTACATTTGCATTTTAGGCATTTAACAAAAACATAATGACTTTGAGTAGTTTTCTGCATGTTGTACCATAGTCTCCTTTCTTTACAATGACATAACAAGCTATTATTCAAAACATGGACGGTTACATGGATGATTGAACTAAAATAAAATCTTTAAATAAATCTTCTGTGTGACTAGCTAGATGTTCTTTCCCAATGTAATTACTATACCTCTAGTAATCTAGACATACCACAGTCATACATATGTTCCACATGTAACATTTGATTCAAATTACGAAACATAAAAATGCACAAAATATGTTTTTTAAAAGGTATGTAAAATATGTTCATGAAGTGCTTTGGTTTATATTTTGATCTCGTTTGTCGGGTGGATGTCCTCCCCACTTAGTTTACTCTGAGAGTGCCGGTTCAAAGGGAACCTGAGAAGTCTGCCGGTCTGAACATCACTGTGGTGGACTTCAGTGAGTAGCCCGAGCCCTTCCAGTAGTACCATTTGATTCCATTGAAGCGATTTGAGTTCTGGCCTTGCTGGTAATACATCCCATTCAAATTGGACGGACCGCAGGCATCAAACCACCAACCTGGAGCATGAAAGCAAACATAAACGTCTGTGTTGTTAAAAAGGATACTGCATACAGCCCTGTGTAGGACAGGGATGGTGTTTGAGGTCTTTTCTACAGTATGATATCCTGAAAACATTCACTCTTTCATACGTGACTCGTTTCATGGTCACAGGGCAAAGCTATAGAATGAAATCAAATATTACATAAACCATCTTAACTTAATCTTTTGGCAATCTCCAACTAAAACAAATTGAAATAGTAGAAGCTCTGAGGTAAAAACAAGCTGTAACATCTACTCCACATATAAAGAGTAGTTGAGATTCCAATGAGCAAATGAGCATTAAATACATATTTTCAAGCTATAACAGCGGCTATTTGGCTTCTATGTAATGAAAAACATTAATGCACTATTCAATTTGCACTTTTACACTCGTAGCTGTAACTCAGTCCTTGGCAGGGCCTCACAAGAGCAGCCCACACTCTCCTGTACGTGTGGTGGGGTTAAGGCAATTCACGTTCGGCAGCATCTAATTGGATGCGACTGTAAAATTGCTACTGCTCTTATGTAGAGCTGTTGTCACTGTGCTGGGAAGAGACCGACTGATAACTTGGTTTATTTCTTTAAGACTCTGGATTTAGTGTTTTGCTCGGCAGTAATAACTGGGCTGTCATACGTAGTCCATAGGATAATTCAAAGCAGGCAGCTTCATATTTGTAATGGCAGATCCCGCTTTCCTCTTTTTCACTGGGTCAGTGCCACTCAGTCACGGTTGTGCATAATGTGCACATGGAGTCCCCCCCCCCCCCCCGTGAGGGGTCTCTCATGGGAAGAAAGGGAGCGGGTTAGAGTCTTCATGCCTTCGTGCTCACTTGGCAGACCTCAATGCAGAGGGAGACAAACTTCTGGCAGCGGAGTCACTTTCAAGGGACCGGAGGAGAGAGGGAAAAGCTCTGTTCCCAGGCTATTAATGTCAGCCATTGTAGGGGCTGAATTCCCCAATGAGTTGATCAGTGATTAACTCGGAGCTAATTGTGCTCTTTGACCTGGCCACAAAAGTACGGGAGCCCTTAAAATGCTCTTGAAGATTTTTGGGCCAAGATTAGGGTGGGTGGGAATGTCTTCCACACTCTGATATTTTGTATTTTCCTGACGAGCACAAATATTCAAAAGCACAAGGTATTTACAAAACTGTCTTTCTTACCCCCCGTTGTCAGTTGTGAACATTTGCAAACACATTTGTCGTTGTCTGCATCCTTTGTACTGAAATCACTTCCTGGCTGCCCGATGCTGCTTATTTTGCCTGCTGTTCCACTGAAGCCTTTAAGGTGTATCCTGTAGAGTGGGAAAGGAAGAATGAAGGAAGAGGAGGAGGAAGTCTGCGATCGGTGTTCCTCAAAAGGCAACGTCTGACTCACTTCTACCGCTCGGCCGTAGCTTCACTAGCACTGGGTCTCTGTTAACTAGGTCTGTGGTTCGGCTTTGTTCTCTTTGGGATTTCATACGTTGTCGTGCTGTTTTTTATTTATATGCTGAAGAATTCGCACTGTGCTTATTGTGCAGCTTCTTTGCAGGCGTTATGTGGAATTACTGAGCCAACTAACCGGAGACCTAATTGGTCATAGTCAAGTAGACTTAAGACCTGAAAAGAACTGTGTTGAATCGGAGCGTTTCAAGGTCCGTTTGTCAAATTCAAAGGAAAGTATCCATTCCACTCCCGAAATCAGCTTCAGAAAAGCAAACACTTCTGGAGGTTGTGTTATTGCCAAAGAGGTGCAGGCCGAATGTTAGACATCCAAGACATTTGATGCATTTCCTATTTTTCAAACACTGACCTGTTTTATTACATTGTCTTTGGGCTGATGCCAGTATGTCAGTATCAGGAAGCAGACAGTCGTGTACAGCAAAGAACCTTCCAGAGGAATTTCTATAATGTCTTTTGCTTTTTAAAAAAAAGAAGTCAACATTTAAGACCGTGAGCTTGTTTTCTCTGAAGTAGGTTTCAGGTGATAAACGTAGCGTGATACGGTCCAACAACACTGTCGGAATACTTGCACGTTAGCGCTGGGACTTAACAACAAGAGCAAAGTCAGTGTGTCCATTAACATGGTCTCATCCTCACTGTAGAGATTTAGCCTGATAAGCAATTGTTTCACTTCATTATTCCATTCATAATAATTGCTTAAAAACCCAGATGTGGGTGCTGATTCAGAAGTATCCAGATTAGTAGAACAATTTGTATGATTAGATAGTTACAGCCATTATGTTTTATCTCTGGGAAATATATTCATGAATGAAATAAATGGCCACGACACGAGTTCTTCTAAAGATGGTGCTTCAGAGATACTTTTTATTTGCTCAAGAACGTGCCTCGTTACTATTGCCTCTGAATGTTGTTGCTAACATAATTGTTAATTCCTTCATAATAATTTGAAGGCTTTGAGTTTCGAGGCCGTGCTTTAGTTACGCTCCTTGACATTTGGCACCAGTTCTTGGTATGTGTTCAGGATCGCAGACTTCAAAAGCACCGTTGTAAGAGAAACACATTATTTGCCGATGGGCTTCTTTGCCCTTAATTACTTGAGCTGTAAAATATTAGCTTGAAACCAAAATGTTCAGTAATTGCCAGTGAGCATCTGACACACTTGCTTCTTTGATGTTTGTCGGTACAACGTACCTGTAATTTTGTGCTTCACCTTCGAGGGAAAACTGGTCGTATTGTGAGAATGCAGAGTTTCCTTCCCAATCACTCAGCTGGATCCTTAGTTTGTAGGACTGTTGAATCGTCAGTCTGGAGACAAACTCATTCCCTAACCAGAATTCACCTGAAGGCTCTCCAAACCCCTGAAACGACACAAAAGAAATGTAATTAAACCTTGTTGAACCCCTGCAGGAGGGGTTTGTAGGTTGCTTTTTCCATTAGCAAAACAGCAAACATACAGGACCACTGTGTACATTTCTTAGCTATTACACCGAACGTTTTTCTCCCCTGACACTAAAATCAGAATTATTTTTGGGAATTATCTCGACCGTGTTTTGATTACAGATTTTAAGCACAGTTTCAGATGCAGGAATATTAGATACACTGTGATTTAATCTGGTGCTTGAAATGTGGCAAATGATAGTGATTTCAGAATGTTGGGGGGGCCTTGCTGGCATCATTGACAAGCAGATGGTGATCTCTGAGGATCTCTGTGTTTGTAGTCTTGCAGAGCAGAATCACCAGGCCTCTAAAACACTCTCAGTCGATGGCTGAAACCAGATCTGCTCCCTGTTTTGTGCATTAGTAATGAAAACCGTCGCCTGGGTTGTATTTTTTTTAAGGGAAGAATTTCTTCCCGATTGCTTTTACCTTTCTGTACTCCTGCCACGTTCGGTGAAAGTCAACATGGCCGTCAAAGCGTTTTTGTAGCACGGTCCACCCGCCTCCTTCTGTTTCCATGTCACAGAAAGCCTTTAAACACAAAGGGGGAAAAAAGGACTTGCTGCAGTTAATACTTCAAAATGAATGCTCTGTAAAGAATTCATCCTCATTTATAATTTGACAATGCCGTCGTATTTGAGTTGGTCCAAACAAATGTTACGTTGTCAGGAAGAGATACAGAAATCCAAGTCTGAAAAGTTTCTAAGGAGATCACAGTTTTAGCTCAAGCATGCACGACATTAATGGAAGTCTGAGAACATTTTAATTCAACTACCCCGCCTTCAAACACTGAGCACTTTCCAGAGTTTTAATTACGAAGGTTGTGTAAGTCAGTGCATGCTCAGTCTGAGTCACTCTAACAGAATCGTTTACCTTAACCTCTACCGTAGTGTTAGGTAGCGTGAGGGTGTAGACTCCGCTCTGGGTGTTTCCTGACTTGAAGACGGCGGCGCAGTCCATGAAGGTGGTCGGAGTGTCCTGCATCATGACAGTTTTGCTCTCTGCGGAACAAATCATCCTTGTTAATTTGACACCACACGATTGTACGGCATTTAACTGTCCTCCTTTTGATAAGTTCACATCCTCTGAGGGAGAAAAAGAAGGTCACATTCATTGCATCGGTGTTGCTGCTTTTGAAGTGAGGCACGTGGTAATTAAAGTTAGGTGACCTTTTCTTTTGTGCAATCCAATACAATAGCACAACGGCTTAAAAACAAATCAAACAGGCTGCATTTGTTGCACAGATATAAAAGGTAACGGTGCGTGAAAGAGGTCGAGATGAGCTGAAGTGCAGACTCGCCTCGAGCTGAGCTGTCGGAGATGGTGTGGATGAGGTTGTTCACGGTGTCCAGCAGGTCCTGCTGCTGACGCTGCAGCACGGTGTTGTTGGAGGAGACTCGGAGCAGCTGCTGCTCCAACTCGCCGATGACGGCCGTCTGCCGTAGTATAAGAGCCCGAAGCTGCTCTTTGTCATCTCGAAGCATCTTCAGCTCCACCTGCCTCTGCTGCTCCATCTCATCCACCTTTTTCTCCAGAAAGCTGCGGAGAAGCACGTTCAGCGAGCCGTGTCAGCACAAAACTTTACTTTGTGGCCCTGAAAAAGTTGGTATTAGCAATCGATGTCCTCACCTGTTTTTGTCATTCAGCTTGCTGATGTCATTCGTTTGGACAATCAGTTGTTTTTCCAACTTGTTGGTCGACAGGGAATTTTCAAGCAGTTGACGCTCGAGTCGAGTTGTTTGACGAATTACCTTAAAACAAAAGGAGGTGAAGCAGTGGAAGTCGGGCAGTGTCCAAGAGATACCTTCAAAAAATCTTCCATTCATCCATCAGTAGATTTTTAAATTCTCCAGAATATGATATTTCACACTTTTTACAAGATCCTCCAACTATCCCATTTGTTTCTCCACACTGCCCAGCATGGCCCCAAGTGTAACTCACGACTGCAAACAGGTGGTGTTCTACAGTTGACATTTTACTTTGAAAGTAGGTAGTTGCAGCTTACATTTCTCAATTTTGATGTTTAATACAGTATGCAAATGGTATGTGACTTAAAGCAAATTACAAAAAAGAAAGTAAAAAAAGCATGTGACCTATGAGAAGGTAGCAATAAACAACATGTATATAGAAATCCTAAAAATAGTTTGCCTTGTCAACAGGCAAACTCTTCTCTTAGTGGATCGAGTTCAATACGAGCCCTGTTTGCACCTTTGGAGTGAACAATCAGACAATTTGCAAAATGGAAAAGTTGGACTGGAAAGAACGACCAATTTCCAACACAGCAGGCATACCTTAACAAGGGAAACCTAGTTTCACAGACGGACGTATTGAACTAAGCTCTGGGGTTGGGGACCTTGCCTCTGATTTCCCAGTTAGGAGGAACTGAACTCAGCAAAAAGCAGCTTGTTTACATGGATCCTAGCTGTGTGTCTCCAGTGGAGCTGTTGATGCCTTTGAACAGACGGATGTGTGATTGTGACAAACTGATAGACCCTTTCTGTGGGAATACCAATGTGCTAATAACAGGAAATGCTGTACAGTTGGCTCACATAAGGTCACTGACTCGTAGCCACAATAATAAACTGACGCAGTCAAGCCTGTTTTTCCCTCTGCTTATTGTTTTGAACATTATTTAATGCAGCGTATCGCTGAGCACACTTTGGCTTGAGCTTATTAATATATTCATATCATTAAAAACAACTCGCACCGCCTTTTCATAGTAATATATTCTGCTGCCTGCTATGCGTGCATGTCGGTGTGATTAAAGCCTCACCTGCGCCTCCACATTGGTCAGTTTCCTCGTCTGCTCTGCGGTCTGACTCAGCAGGTTTGTTCCAATTTCGATCATCGTAGCTGTGTGGTTGTGTACAGCGGTCTGCTGGAGATGGACCATGTCTTGCTTCATGCCGTCCTGTATGTAGTTCTCCAGCTGCAGCACAGATAAAGACACTTAGCATCATTAACCAGTGGCTTTCGTAGCGCATGCACAATCCTGTATCACATTCAGAGGTAGTCCACAGGTTGGCAGCTGGATGCTTCTGTATTGTAACACAGCTGTTTGTTGCTTGAGCTCTTGGGCAACCTGCGTTGTCCTTGTCACTTATTCAGATTCACCCTTTGTTGGTTCAAGGACTCACATTCATCGTGCTCTGACTGGAGAGCATTTAACACCATTGAGAGCGAAGTACTGACAGTTCATGATGACGGACATACTGTGTGTTATTATTGAGTGTGTAGCCATGCTTCTTAAAGGAAGTTGAGAAAGAATGTGTTCAAAATTTCAGATTTTCAAACTCTGGAATGCACGTAGTAGAAACCTTGTTATATTTCATTATTGTATTATTTTACTTGCCGATTACACACCAGCCGTACGATCTTATTGAATTAGTTAACCATCCCCATGTCTCCACTGTCTCCACGTGATATAACAATGGTATTATCGATTTGAAAAATCTGCATTGCTATCAAATTTCCACTACTTTTATGCTATTTCTGCAAGAGAATCTGCATTTTGCAACCTATTTAATAGATTGATGGTGCTGTATTAGAGATTTATGATGAAGCACCATTGTTCCATTACTTAAGGGGAGCTATGAGGACAAAGGTGAATAGCGCTATCACACGACAAGGGGTTTTAACATGTGGTGTCAAATATGTTGAAGCTTCTTTAAACTCATTTACGAGCAGTTGTTGGTCCTGGAGGTCAAAAAGTGGAAATTTCTAAGACGTTATGTTTTCTTCACAAAGTAATTTATTAAGCTATTAATATCAACTTGCTTTAAGATGATACAAACCATTTACACGTATGATGTCACCGTGTTTGTATCAAACCTCTCAATCATAGGAGTAATACAATGAGCACGGTTGCCCTCAGGGTGGGAAAAGGTCAGTGTTTCATCTTTACACCATTTGTCCATATCTACCTTACAGTATTGCCAAATTTAGACCGAGACCAATCATTAAGTTATTTCCTGCACGGTGTTCCTGAGTGGCAATCAGGTCACACGACTCGTAAACAGGATGGAAGTGTTGAGTGAGGAGTTACATCCTTCATGACAGTGTGACACGTGTGTGTGTGTGTGTGTGTGCAAGTGGAAACCAGAGTGTCAGTGAAATATCTCCAACATCTACAGTAAGTTTTGCATAATCATTTTTGTTATTTACTCGTCAGTCAGCAATGCAACCCCAAACAGACAATTTGATTACTACTATTGTGAAAAATACAAATATCATCGGCAATCAGGGCTGATTTTGTTTGTCTTCCTTTCACGACGTCCAGTTTGTTTATGTTCTTGGAGACACAGAGGGATGTGCGGTAGGTGGGAGGCTGTCATTTGAAATATTGGCAGGATGTCCCATTTACAGTCAGTGATCCAATCAGCTGTTTACTTTGTGCGCCTCAAATCAATCAAGCCACTCCTGTAAAAGAGGTGAATAACCTCAGTGAGTAAAGTTCTATATCATTCTACTATCAATCCGTCTATTTCCTTTACCTGCTTATTCCTATGTAAGTTCATAGTGCTGACACCTTTAACAGCAGGGAGTGGCTGCATTTTTACCCTATGTATGCACTCTATTATTTTAACACTGTTATATCATTTTTAATAAATCAAGGAGGAAGGTGAAGGAAACAACAGAAGAAGCCGCTGGAGTCCTCCATTTACACTAACAGCTCCTGTTTGTTGCTACTGCAACATTTTTGTTGACGCATCATTTACCAGCGATGCTTCTGTGTCTGTAACAAATGTGTAACCTGTCACTACACCAGACTTGCTGTTGGACTTTGTAAAATGTTCACTTGTGTCGCAAGCAGGCTTTGATTTGTGAGGCAGCACTTGAGCTTTTGTGCCCTCTGAGCTCTCCCGTGGACCAGATCAGAGCTGGCTTCATGTTACCAGACGGGAGCCGTGGGGATCAAGCTGTGAGTCGTCTCTTGTCCCGTCTGGCCCGTCTTGTATAGTTCTGATCAGTAATCACACTCTGAAGAGGGAGAAGAGACAAGAGGCCCGGTCACTGCTTTCACTCGCACAAGTAATGGCTCAGCAAACTGAAAGGGAAGTATGCATTCCTCATGTGGACACCTGTGTTGAGTCTTTGTCAGTCGTCAGACCCATTCTGTCCTCAATGACAGTGTCCCACTCATGTCAGTAAGGCACTTAACACAGAGCTAGTGGTTTAGTATGAGCCTGAATAATTCGCCCATCACATTACACAAAAGCAGCAGTTGCCCTTGAATTTTGGTTGAGTCAGAAAAAACTAATTTCTCTTCATTGTGGTTGTTAAAATGTGCCGATGTTCCACATGCTGAAGTAAATTAGATAATTACACACGTTTTAGGTGGAAATCTGGTCAATGTTGCATTGAAATTATACATCATGCTCCTTACTACCTTCTTTCCATTTCAGAAAATTGGAAAGGAAGTACGAGTGTCTCCGGTGACACCTGTGTAGAGGAAGTGTAGCTCGTCAGCACATTTTGTCCTCGTACACATTACAATGACCTGTCTCAGATAACTAAATCGACTTCATCTTCCTTTCCTCTGAAAGCCGTCCCTCTGAATTCACTGCAAGTCCCCGATATCGCAAACTAATGTGATGCAACTTTACCTTCAGCAGCCACTGTGTGTTGTTCTCCATGATGGTCTCCAGTTGTTCCAGCCTGTGAGCAGACTCCTCGTTGTCCTCCGGTCCATCTTTTTGAACTGCATAGTTGCTGCTCTGGCTTTGGCAGTTTTCCTGCTCCGGCAGCAGAAAGGTGTAGCTGCACGGCCCGTTTTGGATCTGATATTGTCTCTTAGCCATAGCACTGTATCCTGTCCCCAGACCGAGGCAGAAGCTTAAAACCAGTAAGTCTACATGCAGCATCTTCATTGTGGAGTTATTTACCCCAAAACAATAAAGTTAGTACAATTCTAAGTCCTTGGATTTGTAGGTTGTCTTAAGCGTCTGCCTGGATGTCTTTCTCCGGCAGCATCAAAGTGTAAACAATCCTCTTGAGAGTCTGCAGATTCCTTTTATTCTCTCTCAGTGGTAGGAGGAATTAGAGGGAGTGTGTCATTCCCTTTCAGGTTAACTGTGCCAGACTGCATGTGCTCGCTTTTCATCAAGCCCCCCGACCACTTGTTTGAGCTGCCCATGGCCCCTCTGATTAGCTAACTGTGAGTTTAAACCACTCCCCCCCCCCCCCCCACCCCCCCACCCCCCCACCCCTCACTGCTGTGAAGAGCAGTGAAGTGGAGATTCCTTTCAGTACGCACTCACTTAACAACACAGAGGAGCAGATGCACAAAACTACACACGTTCCACTATATCCTCTGTGATACCCACAGCTACTCAGGATGCAGCTGTGATAGTAGCGGTGTCCACCCCATTCATTGAAAAATGTCTCCCGGCCCACGACAAACACACACACACACACTTGCATCTTTGACGGGAGATTCAAAGGAGAAATTCATTCACTACAAATATTTTTGTTCTTATCAGATGCTTAATCCCCAGAAATCTACTGATTATCCCTTTTCTTATAGAGTTTTTCTTATTTCCTCTGTTTATTTCACACGTTCAAAATGTTATAAAACAATACACAATTCCCAGATCCTCCTTCGGGTCTCAGGGTCCTTAAAGTCGCCACTTGCTGATCTCTGACCGCAAAATAGTCTTTTCTCTGCTTCATGGTAGATTCATACAAGACTCCGATGAAATGTACTGAGTCATAAGTGTAATCATTCAGATGGTTCAGATCAGAAAAGCCGTTTCTTTGATTACTCTGACAAAAAAACAAGCTATCTGTAAGTGTAGGCTACCCTGTTAGATGTCAGCTTTTTATAGATTCCTATGGATTGGATGTTTTCCAGACATATTAAAGACGGCGTTGTCATTTTGAGGCATGCCCTGATGTTAGTAACCTCTTTTTCTGTAGCTTAAAGTAGAAAATGGCTCTGAAAATGAGTCACCCCAGGGTTACTTTTTCTAGACATCTTATAATGATGCAGCCATATACAGCTTGTATCTGTTCTAATGACTATCCTGCACGACATAAATGGGAAGTTTAGGGTCTTTTAGCCTAACTGCAGGATTTTGTTTTGTGGCTGAAATGTGTCTGAGGGCTGTGATGTCACGGTGGGGGAACAGACTGCAGGTGTGTGATGCAGGAAAGGCATTGATATAGGAGGATGTTTTGTCCTATACTGCAGGAATGTGTTTCTACCACAGAGGCTTCACTCCCCCTCACAGTAAAATCTCTGATCTTTAACAGTCTGCCGAATAACTGTAGATATACTGTGCTTTATATTGTGTACTGAATAGTCATTTAGCTTTGCCAGAGACACATTTTAGTGTCAACTGCACCATTTTTCTTTTTTTTTTTCCAGGAAAGGCTCAGAATTGCGCTCTGCAGTTGGATAGAAATACCGAAACAGAATTGTAGGAAGTAGGCTGATGTCATACACGCTGTATAAGGGAAATGCAACATATTTAAAGAACATTACCAAAGAGGAAGGACTCGCCGTCATTCCAAAAACATTGGCTTTTTTCAGGTGTTCAGGCTGAATCACTAAAAACTTGAATGGTTATTGAACTCACAGAGGGAGAAATAAAGCGCACAATGAACATGTTCTCATGCTACGAGCTGACGATGTGACTGTACTTCATTATGCGCGGCCGTTCATTTAGTCTGGCCTGGTATTGGTCGTTACAGAGCTTCACAAGCTATCTGCCTCTCTGCAGACTCGTGCACAAGAAAAGTGTAACTGCATTAACGGCTGCGAAGACATTGATTAGGTTGTCAGAGTAAGGTGGTGGAATTTCCCATGTGAACAATAAGTAGATTTTTGCTGGCAGTTTACAATGCAACTCATCCATGTTGTAACAAATTTCCAGAGTGTTTTCCAAAGAAAGTTTGTTACCACTGGCATCTAGGACCCGTCCTCTGGAGATTTGAAAAATTCAGTGCGGCGATAGTGACAAAGTGATACAGACGAATATCCAATACAGAGATATGAGGGTCATGAAAAATATATCTTTAATGCAGCAGTATTAAATTAAATGTCTGCAAATCCAAACAGCTGTTGAACACAACTCAAAGTATATGTTGTAACTATTTATACTTTCTACAACTTCTCTGTATGTGTGTATGTACAGTATATCTAGTCAAATTGATCAAACCACTTGGTCTTGCTGTCTTTTTCATGTTGCCCTTTCTCTCCTATAGTTGTACCGCCCCTGTTGTCACATAGTAGACCTTACACATGGTCTTCAATCATTCCCTTTAAAGTGCACAGTGTGGGTTAATCTAAAGCTGACCCCGTCTCTGAACCCTCTGACCAATCCCCGATTACTCCACGCAAAGTGAAACCTGTGTGAACATTGACAAAAGACTAAAAGCATTACCGCTTGTTTCCTGGCATTCAACTTTCGAATAGAGCAGATTGTCCCCTTCAGTTTAGCAAGTGACCCTTGCTGGATACACAGAGCAGGCCCGCAGTGAGAGCTCAGAGCATCACTCAGCAAACCCAAGAAGAAACACAACCTCAAAGAGATTCACATGCTCTCCTTCAGACAGACTGATGATACTCTGGGAACGATGTGGGCCACCGAAATCAAACCGGGCGCGTAGGACGTCGTCAAAGCTCACCTCAGTGCCACTCAGAGTTCAACAGTGTCTGAGGTTAATGTGATTCTGATTTGTAGTTTTATCAATTTGAAAATATGAGGCTTCCTTGAAGTTAATTGAAATAGTGCTGAATAGTTTGTTTGACTGTAATAAAGTGTAGTAAGCTCAGCAATGACCTAGACATGTTTACTCATACAGCTAGTTGCTCTTTAAATTGGCTTTATTAGTATATTTAGTCTTGCAGCAGAGGCTATTTTTCTTATGCCTCAAAGCCAAATTCTCCCAGCTTCTGCTGTGTCTCTAGCAGCCACCTTCAGGCCGTTTTCAGTAGTGAATCACAGTTTCAAATGTATCGCTGTGATGACTTACAAATTAAGTTCTTCTGGGTTAAAGTGAATAATACTTTTATCAGGGAAAGAACACATTAATTGATTTCAATATGTCGAGTCGGTGGTCCACGGTCTGTATTATTGTGATGTTTATGAGAGACGATACCCGTGACTCATGTGAGATACACCCTTGAAACATGTGAGAGTTTTAATTTTAACCCTTGATTCACCAGAACTACAACAGAGGAAAGTTTATTGAAAACCTAAACACACGATGAATGCTGGGATGTAAGACAATCACTAAACAATGTTTAGGAACAAACTGGTGTTTGAGGAGTTTAGTGAACAATCTGAAGGATGTTAATTCAATAATTCAGTGCAAGTCACACAACATGAACTCAATATTGTAAGTTCTTAAAGCCCTACGTACCCGTAGTCCACCACACAGGTGGTTTCAGGTATGATGCCGGATTAGACCTTTTCTCTGGACTGTGTGTTGTACATACTGTTCTGTACTTGACTAACAGCTCCATCACTCTGCAGTTAGCTTTGTTGCGCTGGTAAGACGGGACTATTTAAACCATTATCAACTGGAGACATTTTGACATGTCACTGTCGGAAAATTACAGGTGTGAATAATAAAATAGTTGAATTGCTTCAGTTTCAGGGTCCTAGTATTGTGTACGCTGTCACGGCTTACTGGGACACTCCAATAGAACAGAGCCATCGTTAATGCACCAACACCTGTGCTTTTCCTACTATTACAAGTCAAACTGTATGCACTGACCAATGCCTGTTGGTATTAACTCATAGAGTTTGTGACCACCCAGCTTCAACCTGACTGGAGGTCTAATTAATCTCAGTAATTGAAAACACCTGAGTGGTCCCAGCCAAGAAATGTCTGGGACATGTTTTATGTCTGGCACATAAAACAGCTAATTACTGTTTTTACACAGTGTGTTAATGAGTGAGTTTTAGAGGTGCTGTTAGGGTGATTTTTTTTTTTTTTAACCTTTATATTGAACCAAGCTTCCTGCAGTTTCCGATTCTTATGCTAAGCTAAGCTAATCATCTTCTGGCCGAATTTGGCATATAGATATAAGAGTGGCATCCGTCTTCTCATCTAACTCCGGGCAAGAAAAGCAAAAAAGTGTATTTTCCAAAATGTTAAACTATTCCCTTAACATTTCTGTAAACTGGGACATCATGAGTTATCATGAGTTTGTTTTTAAAAGACATTTTTCAGATGATCTTATACGGAAGCATGTTGAGCTGTTGTCGGTCCTTCTGAACATGAACAGCTTCTGTGTCGCTGTGTCCTGAATGCACCTCGCTGAAGACTGATCGTTAACTGTCGGTTTTCTCATCCCAGATCTGTCGTCTTCAGAGGCACCTGTCTGCCGGGGAACACCAGCAGGACCTGTTCCAAGACCAGCCAGCCATGTTTGTGTCCCAGCACTCCCAGCCACCCACTCAGAGTCTGGTGGAGCTGATCCAGCTCTGTGGAGGAACGGTCTGCAAATCTGTGCGACAGGCAGGGATCTGCATCGGGACGTACAGCGGCAGGAGACCAGAGGGGAGCAGGGTCCTGTCTGAGCAGTGGGTGCTGGGTAAGAGAGATTTCCTGCCAATCTCTGTTAAATGATAAATTCCTTTATTATGTCACTATTAATTATTTCTCTCGTTTCTTTGTGATTTTATTTCAGATAGTATCATGCATTTGAAGCGGCTGTCATATGACAACTACCATGTGGAGTGAAAGCTGTGAAGTTTAGTTTTAATAATTTTATGTTGAACAGTGCCTGGTCACAGACCCTCAGTTTCTAACTTACAGTCTTCCTGTTGTGGACCTGTCAGCTGGTCACTTCTGAGGACTATCAACAACAAGCCAAGTTACTGTAAAACAAGCAAAACTGCTTTAACAGTGCATGTCGATCCTTTATTGTTTTAATTGTTAGTAGTAACCACTACTGTATAATTGTGTGAATAAACAAGACATTAGAGTGAACTTTGAGAATGTTTTCATTTATAACAATGTGATTTTAAAGATACTTGCTGAGCCAGTTTAACATGTACATGAAGATAACATACTGTATCCGTATATAGTTTTGTGGTGCCATTATTAATAAATACTTTGGTTTTTGATCGTGGGTTTTCTTAATTTTCAGTTTTCCAGGTTTTATTGTAATTGAATTGTAGAGAGATTACTTTAACTGTCTGAAATTTCTTCACAACCATGAAATGAATGAAGCACCGTTTCGAGAATATCAACTTGGTTTTGAAAATGACAGCTCGGTGGTTTGATGGATCAATCTGTCTAAAGTGTTGTCGGAGACCACTCAGCAGTGTCACTGGGTGATAGATGACAAACAAACAAGCTGATGTATCACAGCTTGTACTGTCATACAGTAACACATTAACTCTAATACTAATACTATACTTTAAATGTACTAGAATCTTACTTGAGAATGTGCATTATTCACACATACCTTAGTTACTATTTCTCAAGTATGTAATACATGCATAATACGTGTTGTATGTTAGGGTCATAAAGTATAATGGAAAAAAGTATATAGTATAATAGTAGGTGAAGAAATTAGTTTTTAGCTTTAACATTTACTTCTCTTTGTCTTTGCGACCAACTTTTTGGGCCACTTCATCAGGCCAAGCCCAATAAAAATAAAGAATTGTATCAATATTTTATTGTTTATTTTATTATTATTGTGATGCGAGACTGTTCAGACAATAACTAAACACTATGGCATCGTTTTGAAAATGGTAATGTGTCATTTGTGGAGAATCGCAGAAAAACGTGGAGTTAAAAAAAAGCGTTGTGTCGCTTTAATACGGAGTGTATGGAACTCACGGTGCCTCTCGCCCATTGGCTGGCGTCTACTGCGTCACTTGACTAATCGGCTCCGGCGACGTCACAGGGTGGCATTACGTTGGGAGGCGTGTGTGACATTTGCGGCAAGAAGCTAGTTTATGAGCAGCTAGCCGGATAAAGATGAAGAACTAAGGAAGTAAATAGAACATACTTTGCCTCGTAAGGACCGAGCTGACGTTTGGGTTACAGTTTGTTGTCGTATCCACATCAGAGAATACAGTTTGTATCAAATGGAGCTAAAGGTAAAACTTCCTATCTGGCTGAACACGTTGAAACAGCAGTGAGTAGGCTAACCCTTTCTCTTAACTTATACTGTAAGTCACTGTTAGAGTTGAGCTGGTGTTATAACATTTTTTTTCTGAGATGTTGAAACTAATCAGATAACTGTAGCTATTTCTTTTTTTTTAATTAATTGCAGTATGGGTGGACATTAGCGCGTGAGCCGACTTGCCTAACTGCATTTTGCACACAAGGTTAACATTAGCTTTAGCAGGCTAGCTCCTCACTCCCCTCTTGCTGCAGCTTTCTTACTTTCTTATGCTGACTTGTCAGGACAGGTGTGCAGACAGTAGGCCAGCTGTGGTGTGGGAGAGATAGGGTCTGCAGCTGAAAAGCAGTGCTCACAGAGCGGTACTAAGTCCCAGCAGCCCACTTTCTAGTGACTTTAGTGGAGCCAGAGGTGGGACCATGCTGCTCTCCTTGGTCGTGCACACATACTCGCTGCGGTACTGGTTTCCAGCCACGATCATGCTGGGAACAGCCCCGGCTTATCTGCTGTCATGGGGTACCTGGCGCTTACTTTCAACAGTTTTACCAGCGAGAATGTATCACAAGTTAGACGATCGGTTGTACTCCATGTACCAGAGTATGGTGCTGTTCTTCTTTGAAAACTACACCGGAGTAGAGGTGAGTGATCCCTACATATACTGCATGTCAATGTAAAGTTAATCTGTTAAACCCCTAGACTCAATGTGTTGTCACCATGAGTGTATCGAGGATGGGGAATCCTATATCCTGCTATTAGAACTACAGGGACACAGTCGGTCAGGTGACAGCTACCTCTGACTGACTGTGCCTGTCAGCCTCTGAACTTAAACTAGTATCACATGCAGATCAGTGCTTTTCTGGAGGTGTCTGCATTTCCCCCCTTCTTAAAATAACAAAATGTAAAGTGGTGCTAGACACAGAGGCTAATAAACAAGATCTCGATGAACCAGATGTATGACGAGAAGGTCTGCATTCCTTTTGTTGCACTCCTTGCACAATTATTAGACTTTGCAGAGAAACAACAGTGATGGTGTTTTGTGTAATTAAATTGTCTGCGCTGTCGCACTAACTGGAGGCCACATGAGTAGATTGTATCGGACCTTTTAATGAATTGTCTTGGGTTTATTGAACAGCTGCAGTCTACGCTGGTGGGCTGAATCAGCCTGAACCAGAAACAAATCCGTGATGCCGTTTAGATATCTTTAATGTAGAATACTTTTGCACACTGATGACATTTTGCTTGACCAATGCTTTCTCTCTGTAGATTATTATATATGGAGATATACCAAAGAACAAAGAGAACGTGATCTACGTGTCCAATCATCAATGTACAGGTAACACATTTAAACATTAAAATCTCGGTCTAGTGTGAATCACAGGTTGTAGTAAATCTCTAATCTCTCCCGACGGTTTTCCTCGTAGCCGACTGGATCATTGCGGACATGCTCGCCATCAGGCAGAGTGCTCTCGGCCACGTCAGATACGTTCTTAAAGATGGACTCAAGTGGCTCCCGCTGTACGGATGGTATTTCTCTCAGGTAATGCAACTGTGTGAGTATTTGAATGTCATTTGTTATTGTAAATTACAGAGGCAGAGAAGTGAATTAAACACGAATTGCATCCCCCACACACACACACACACACACACACACACACACACACACACTGCTGTTCTCATCGGCTTCTCTTTCTGTTTCAGCATGGAGGAGCCTACGTGAAACGAAGTGCAAAGTTCAGTGAACTAGCGATGAAGAAGAAGCTCTTCACTCAGAGTCAATCTGGGGTCCCAGTAAGTACACATTATACATGTTCTAAATACGCCTTTTGACTACATTTACTCTCTTAAGGTTGACGTGCTGTCCGCGGTCAAGACGAAAAGTTCAGTTCAAAAGAGAACAAGGACTTCAAAGAGAAATCATATCTTCAAGCGGGGCTTTATTTGCCATGTTTCTGATCGTCACAAGCTTGTTTTTAAATGTTCACCACCTAAATTCACTGCAAAGCTTTCTGTTATAATCTTACAAAACGTTGTCTTTCAAAACAATCCTTCTTACCTTACTTGTAATTAGGATTTAGCTGTGAATAGTTTCTTAGAGTTTATCTGATGGCGTCATTGAATTGAAATGGATAATCAGATATTGGATGCACGAGAGTTCAATTGCAGTGTTATTGTGTTGACAGGGTGAGTTTTTTTTTTTTAATCACTTTTTTGGGGATTTAACTGGGGGATTAGCGCGTGTGTGTGTCGACAGAAGTAGTTCTGGTGACCTGTAGGTGCACAATGAAAGCTCTGTTGTAAAGTGGTAAAATAAAGCTTGTTAGTGTTCACTTGAACATAAATATCTTTGTTCCTGTGCGACTGAAATTGATCAACTCTAAAACTAATTCTTAAACTTGTCTGTTTATTCCAGTAATTCACAAATAAGTTATGAAGCATTTAAAAAACTGCTGCATTAGTTCATCATTTGCAAGTGTGAGGATGTTCTTATGGTCTAAAAAGCCTGAAAGATTCTTATACACATTCATTCAGTACTTGAGCTAAGATAGATTTTAAAAAGGGCCCTACTTCTTTGTAATCGTTGACCTTACACGTCCATTATCATGTTTTTATCCGGCGTCACTGAAATGGGACAAAGACAAAGAAATACAGCAGTAGTTTGAGTCTACATCACCAAAAACTCAGATTTCAGTTCAGTTACAATCCAAACTGATTTAAAAGAACAAGGTGACGACAACAGTGTTTGGTTTCCTTTTTTCTTGTTCAACAAGTCCTGTCAATGTTAGAGATTCAAAAGACAAGAACACTGGAGACTTTCATGCAGTTTTTTTTTTTTCTCACCCCACAGATGTACCTCGTCATCTTCCCAGAAGGAACCCGGTATAATCCAGAGCTCAAGAATGTTATCGCTGACAGTCAGGCTTTTGCTACAAAAGAAGGTACAAACATGACAGAAGTCACTTTCTGCTGTACGGCTGCATACTAATTCAGCACGCAGCAGTCTGTAAAACAGCTGACAAAGTTTTGTTGTGCGACTAGTGAGCATGAAGTGCTGCGTATGGATTTATACAATTCTTAAGTTTGCATCGTTCATTATTAGGATCATGTATTACAAACTTCAGAACTCTAACAAAGTGAATTAAGTCAATCTTTTGGACATTTTTTATACCCCTTTGTTGAAGAATTAATTAGTAAAGCTTTATACAAATTAAACTACTGCATTAATCTCTGTCGTCACTGGATTACTGTTGTGTTGCCAGGAATTGGTCAGCGTCCACCAAAACTGCTGATTACATATTCCAGCTGGTGCAGATCAAAGTTTTGAGCACGAAATTGACTTTCTGCTGTTATGATAAGAGACTTTATTGCTCACTAAGAATCAGTTTGAAAAGCGGTTATTTCTGTAGCAAGAGGAAGTGAAATTATCGGATTTGAAATGGTCGTTTTATCTAACTGCAATGTAAATTTCCATACAGCTTTACAGTTTCACAGCTAAATACAGTCGTTGCATCAGCGTGATTATTGTGCTGCTGTTGTGTGGGCTTTAGGTCCCATCACAAACTGCAGAGATTAAGCCTATCTGTGGACCACAGCTCTCAATATCACCTTCCCCCATTAATCCCAAACAAATCGCTCTGGAGAGCCAACATGTGCACATGACATTATCTGCTATTAGTGAGGTATTAGTGAGCAGAGGGTGCTGCCACATCCACTGAGGAACAGGCTGTGCCGTAACTCACACAAGCATTCACATAGAATGACTGTTTTTACCATCATATGTGTATTTATGTTTAAGGTATTTTGGAGGGGGTTTAAGCCCTTATTTATTGAGACATGGTGATGACGTGGGACAAAGGTTCCCAGCCACACTCACTCTGGCGATACTGTATGTCTAGCATCTTAATCAGGTGATCTGATTGAATAGATAATGTTTTACATCTGTTCCTCTCCATAGGACTGGCTGTCCTGAAGCACACTCTGACACCCAGAATGAAGGCCTCTCACATAGCCCTGGAGGCCATGGGGGGCCACCTGGACGCGGTGTATGACGTCACAGTGGCCTACGAGGGAACGCTGGAAGTCTCGGGTCAAAGAAAACCTGCGCCGTCAATGCCAGGTGAGCAGGCAACTAGAGACGGTCGGTCAACAGCTTCCTTCATTTGAGCTGGTCTCTCACAATGTGATCTGTCCCTGGATAGCTGGTCCTAAGTCAGTTGTGTTAGGTGTGTACTTATGCAGGACACATGCAGCTGGAATAAGTATGGAAGTGCACCTCCAGGGGAGTTAGCCAGGCCAGCAGTCTCACCAGTATTCACAGTAGCAGACAGTAACGTGGTGAAAACAATGTTGTTATTCTATATTTTACATATTGAGACTCAATCAAAATAACAAGAAAACTCATTATACTGGGTATGACTGCAAAGGCCTGTGGGCCTTATTACGATTTGAGAAAACTGTGTGAATACCAGTTATTAAGGCAGGAGATGTGATTGTTTTCTTTTTCCATTCTAGAGATCCAAGCAGCATTCTAACTCCGGACATAAAAGCCTGCCTTTATCTTCTGTTGATCAGTGATCCACAAACACACGGGCGTCGTGTCATCAGTCCTGCAGCATTGTGTAAATAACCACATAGCATCGACAGTCGCGTCTTCCTGTAAACAGCATGACTATGTTTTGGGCTTTTTGATTATTCTGTGTTGCCGGTTGTGCCGACATGCTCTCGTTTGAATGTTAAAAAAACATCCTGTTTCAGTCAGGAATAAACATTAATGTCTTTCTAACAAACGGAACAGAGAATAGAAAAGCATTCTGGCCGTCATCACGCACTTCCTGCTCTCATGCGGTGAAGGTGACTTTAGTGATTTCAGAAGGAAGTGGAAGTGACTCGAGGCTGCGTTCACACCGCAGCTACAACAGTCCAAACTCACATCTCAGTTTTCTGAAATTGTAGGACTTTAAAGGTCTGCAGCTCAGCAGGGATTACTTCCTATTATGTGCTGTTCTCTGGTATTGTTACATTGCTACATACAAGACAGTTATTCTATGGCCTTTTTATTGGGCATCAGCCTTACGTTTACTTGCGTATTGTCAAAGTCTAAATAATCACTTCAAGTCAGAATTACGCCTGTGAGATGCGCAGAGATTAAAATGAAAGCCATCTGTTCTGTGAGACCTGCAAGTGAAAAATACATCTGATACACCTGGGGTCCAGACGAGGGGGGGGGGTTCTAGAGTTTATTATTAAAAGGATTGCGATCAGGAGGTGTCTGTTGCTACAGAGAGAGTTGATTTCCTTCTTCTATTCCAGGAAGTTGTTTTTAAAGTGTCTTTTGGAACATTGTTCTGCTCAAACACAGACGACCTGCAGCCGAAGCTCAGACGGACCGACTTTGGCTTCTTCGTGCGTGTTCTTGTCTCTCTTCCTGAGCCTTCGTCCACACTAACCCGTCTTTCGTTAAGATGTGTCGGTGTTTATTGAAGCGGTACATATTGTGTCCGACGGTCGATTTAAATCCGTGTCGCAGCTGATTGAGGTGCTCTCTGCTGACTTCGATCAAGTTTCCTCTTTTGTCCGCAGTGCCAGGTTTCCTGATAATGTTGCATGTTGTGGAAACAGGAAGTTGAAGGTCTCTGGGGATGCACGTGTAGCGTTGAGCGTTCACACTTGGTTACATTTTTATGTCCGACCTTGTCAGACACTTTTCTTTCTCTGCTTAGTTCTCTGACAGTTTTAATTTTTACTTGACACATTCACATTTATTTTAGGAAAATGTATTAGGTGATGCTGAAACTGAATGGTTTGTAGCTCATTATACAAATAACGAATATTCAGTTGAAACTCTGAACATTTAGTATTTTATATATTAAATCTGACTTTTCTACATTTACACTCGACTTCGACCTGATTTCATGATCAGATGTGATCGTATCGGTCGGATTCTGCACCAGTTTAACCGACTATCTGTTGCACGTCACTGGGCTTCACTCCATCATTGTCACCTCGTGTTGATTTGAAGTGCTTGCTCTACGTGCCGTTGTGCTGAAAAGCTTTTCCTGTTTTTGTTTAGTCTCTCTTATATTTTTGTGTTTGACAGAATTCCTGTGCAAAGAATGTCCCCGAGTCCACATTCACTTTGACCGCGTGGACATAAAGGAAATTCCTCCAGAGCCGCTGTTCTTCCGCAGGTGGCTGCACGAGCGCTTTGAAATCAAGGACCGGTAAGAGTGCGCTTGCGCGTGTGTGTGTGTGTGTGAGTGAGAGAGAACAATTATTCATGTTCAATCAATACATAAACCACAGTGATCTTTTTTTAATGTTTTGCTTTTGGACGCCACAAGTTTTAATCCCAGATGTGTATCGTAGCTTCTAAAAAGACGAGTAACCTGAGTAAATATAGAAAACTGTGGATGAACTAATTCTCTTAAACATAAATGACATGTCCGAAAAGGAGTAGGAAGAAATACACGCTTATACCTCTTCTCCATAACTCAATCAAAGAACTCAATATTTATCATATACACCTTTGTGAGTGTCAACCTATATTCCTTTCAATTTTAACCTTGGTAATGAAGTCATATTTTTCCCCCTCGTGTCCACATTTAAGATGAGATAAGTCTTCGTTCCACGGCGGGGACATTTACAGACGTACATCAGCAAAGAGGGATGCTGCAATAACAACAAGCATCTGTTAGAAAGGTCTATAATCAATAGCTAAACAGTAAAAAGCTAAATTATAACTGAACGGTTGAATTCACATTATGCCCATAGGAAACATTGATATTGAAGCGTTTAATATTGCACATGAATGAATTGCTAGTTTTGGGTTTTGTGATCTGCTGAAGTTGTCTTTTCTTAAATCCTGAATTCTCCTTCACATCTTCCCTTGACCTCAAGACGTTTTCCATCAAGATCAAGGAAAGGTGGTAAGGAAAGGTGGTTAGGAAAAAAACGTGAGAGGGAATTTTTTTTTAGTCCAGACTTTTGATATAGACTGAATCACAGAAGTTGTGGTTGAAATAATAGTTGTTGGGGATGGAAAGTGGTAATCTACTGAGCCCAACATTAACACCCACCAGGCAACAAAAAGCCCCGATGTGATTTGGGTGCAGTTTTTGTGCTGCAACTGTTAAAAAAGAAAAACCCAAAGATTTTCCTGATCCATCCTTTTGCAATGTTTCACCTCTTGTGCTTTTCTAAGCCCGGCTGAATTCCTAAGAGAGTAATCTGTCTTTTCAAAAGGCTGCTGACGGATTTCTACGAGTCGGAGGATGAAGACAAAACCTGCAGGTTTCCCGGGGAGGGCAAACATTCTCCTCTGAACCTTTCGAAAACCCTCCCATCAGTGGTGATCCTGGTGGGGCTGACACTGCCGTTACTGCTGACAGAGACCGGCAGGAAAGTGTACATGAGAACCTGGGTGTACGGGACTCTGCTGGGCTGGCTGTGGGTCAATGCTTTTCCTTAACCGACAGGGCAGCGGCTGCCACGATGAGACGCACAAAAGACACGTCGCCACTTTGCTGTATCGCAACAACACAAGGTGTGTTCCAGATGCAGAGCGGCATCTGATGAGAGGCTCAGAGATTTACTCCTCGTGTCTCATTCATGTTGAGCTGAAAGCTGAACGGAGGTACGGAGAAATGTGACGCTTTTTTGTGCTACTTGTTCCCTCGCGTTATTTGGATTTGCAGCCTGAAATGTTGAGAAAACATGAGTGGAATTGGTGGAAAAATCCCCCTAGTTATCGACTATGAAATAAAAAAAAAACCAACCCCCCCCTCCCCCATTCATCAGATTTTGGCAAATTAGTATTCATGCATGCCCACTTTCCCATAAAACATTGGCCAGTTTTAAAGCTCTTATATGAGAGATTTTTGAGAGCAACGTGTGCTTAGTGCTCTGAAAACAAGTGGATTGATCATGTCCAGCTACGGTACGTAGCCGACACAGCACACCAGCCTACTGATGAGAGATCATTCATTATTTAAGTGGACTGACTCATTGACATTGGTTCTAATGCCATTCATGCCAAGTCCCATGTCAGGAGGTTTATGCAATTAACTCATTGAAAGTGATGTTTTACATTAGTAGAACAAAAATAAGTAGCATGCAGTCCTCTGTAGGGGCTCATAAACCTAACACCAGCTGCATCGTTTACTATGAATATTCATATGACATCTTAGTTTTATATAATCATAATGAATGTAGCTGTTAACTCATTTATGCATATATGAAATAGCTTTTTTTTTTATTCCCAACACCCAAGATTTTGGTTTTACTAATATCCTTAAAAAAAAGAAATCAATCTACTGTACTTTTGAGCTCAAATGGAGGAATGCGTGTTTGAAATTGAAGTATTGCTTTAACCTTTAAAATGTCAATCATTGCCAAAACCTGCTGTATTTACCGTGATGTTCTACATGTGTTTAAGTTGAGCAATACTCGTTTAATGCCAGCCTGGATGACGACAAAGAAACCTAATGTCTCTTCTTTTTTGGGGCCTAAATACATTATAATTTGACTTCTTTTGACAATGGTTTATTCACAGATCCATAACTTTTATATGCATTTGTTTCTTTGAATACCATGTTTCAGCTCATACGAAAGTATCTACCTTGCAAAAAGCTAACAAAGCCATGTTAACGGTATATCACAGGCTCATGTGCACTCAAAGCCATTTGTATTGTCGAATGCACTGTATGGCCATTGTTTACCGTTATGAAACCATTGCATTTTTTTCCACGAGTCACTTTACTTGTTTGCCGTCTCGTCTACAGTTAGTCTGAGAAATGTTTCCCTCGTGTGGAAGGTACAGTACATAGTTCTTACAAGTCAATCCAATACCTCACTTGAATAATCCTCCCTTGTTCTTAAATGACTTGTCAGCAATTTTATAGTCATTTTTATTCTGACAAAACCAGTCTAACTCATCGGGAAATCTCTGTCGACAGTATTTAAATGCCAACTGATTTTGGAAATTGTGTGCCTTCTCTTTGGAGGAGTTGGTCCTCAGCGGCTCTTTTCCACCAGGTGACTGCGTAGAGGCTGGAGCTGCTGCTCCCTGTGGTCGCATTGTCTACAGTTCATAGTGGCTTATTTTGCTCGAAGAATGCATTGATTTACACTTTTTGAGGACTATTATTAAACGATGAAACCTTTAATGTATATAACTTCTTGAAATGGGGGAGTCAGAGAAATAAAGTTTTCTTTTGGGAGAGTCAAGTTTTCTGTTGTCTTCCTGTCCTGAATGTGTGACTTAAATTAAAATGTTGATACTAGAGTATATCTAATACTGGCACAATGTGTTGCCAATGGAATTAAACTGATTGTTGCCCAAGTTAAACTTGTACACTTAAGATGCCTTTTTTTTTTTTTTTACTGCACACTAAGTTTCTTTCTTTTAATTTTGCATCACCAATTTTTGTATATTATTAAAATATTTTGTGTAAGTCCATTACATAAAAAACAAAATCCATTTTAATTCCATGTTTTAATGCAACAAAATAGGGGTGAATACTTTTGCATGGCATTTTTATGTACCCATCTGTGGGCGGATTATTTAAACAAAAGGTTTTTGCACTATTTGCTGTCTTCCTCCCACCAATGTATTGTAGCTACTTTTTGCACAATGATGTGGGTCTGACAATCCCTGCAGATACAATTATAGAAAGTCTTTGGTAGAAAACTGAAGAATTCAGTCATTTTACAGAAGAGTTTCAGACTGTACTCACAAATAAGACCATTCTGGAGGTATTTACCAAAACTAAACTAGTTTGACAACTAATCAAACATGAGAAATGGACTTGGAAATGTGATGGTGTGTATGAATACATTGTACACTTTGTTTAAATTGAAATGACTTAAATATATATTTTTAATATGGTTTTGGAAACGCAACCGGTTTTAATGTTCTGAAATACTACTTTCCCACTTTATCAAACGTCTACGAACACAGCACGAACCAAATGGCGCATGCGTATTACGTTTTGTGGGCAGTAACAAGGAAGTGCAGTCATAAATTGAAGAAACGATTTTTCGCGCTGCTGCTTGTTTGGACGCAAGGTTTGTAATGTTAACCGAACGAATGAATTTAATGTATAATGATTATATGATAACAATACGTACTTCACATGAAGTACATTATTATAGGATATGCGTGTGGCGCTGATCTGTCTGTCGATGTTGAAACCACTAAAGGTCTCACAGCGACACCTAGCGGATTTATCAGACTTCACGCGGGTAGATACTCTGACAAGGATTAAAGTACAAGTACTATTGCGCTTAAAGTGTTTAGGAAGAGATACACTTGCTGGTGTTGAAATCGTATTAGCGTGTGACTCGTTTGTGGCGACTAAATAGTCTCGAAAATACTTCATTTTTAGATTTGAATTATCTTAACGTGAGAAAACCTGTGTTTTGATTTTTGTGTGTAAGCCTTGCTATTTACAGTCCTAGTTCAACATGAATACCAAACATACCTCTCACCCTGAGCTGTACTCCTGTGCATTTGTGCAGCTTTGTTATGGCTGTGGACTGGATTGGATTTGGCTATGCTGCAGCCATCGCCTTTGGGGGATTTATGGGCTACAAGAGAAAAGGTTGAAATCTTTCCATTTTTTGCAGACGGCTCAACACAAACTGTGTCACCTGATGAACTAATTAAGCCTGATTATCACCACGTGTGTTGTCTGTGTCCCTACAGGCAGCGTCATGTCCCTGATGGCTGGGTTAGTCTTTGGTTGGTTATCTGCTTATGGTGCATATAACGTCTCCTATGACCCAAAAGACATCAAGGTCTCATTGCGTAAGTATGACTAAGCTCTTTTCATTGTGTTGATTTTCAACCACTTCATGAGTCATAGAATTTATGCCATGTCATGGTGTTTTTTTCTTTCTTCAGTCACCTCGGGGGTCCTCTCACTCGTGATGGGAATGAGATACAAGAAATCTGGCAAACTAATGCCCGCTGGCATCATGGCAGGGCTAAGGTCAGAGGCTAAGTTGAGCAAACGCATTGTCGAATTATGTAACGGGCTATTACTTGTTATTAATTTTTGATTTGCTGTCTTTCTCCTACAGTTTGTTGATGGTGTTTCGACTGTTGCTGCTCCTCGTTGTGTGACTGGACCAGACTGAGGGTCTCTCTGTCTCTCATTGAGCAAGCCTTGTTTTAAAGGAAACAGCGTTCCCAGTTTGCATACTAAAACAAGCCTTCTGCTTTGTTTGGTAATTTAACTCTTCTGTGACCAAAAAAACTTTGCAAAACTGCCAGTGAGTGTTTTAACAGATTTAAGGTTAACTTAGGTTATCTGTATTGGTAATCTTGTATAAATAAACTGCTTTTTTTTTTTGTATGTGCATGAATGTAAATCTCCTGAATTGGGATTAACAGATGTAACATGAGCTTTGTGGGTGCAATAGTTTGTGTTAGCAGGTGGTTTACTGTATACACTACAACTTTATTTTTGCCGGCTGCTAATACTGTCACGGTTAGTTATCTCAAATATTGAAGTCACTGGAAAGATAGGGACAAGTTTAAAGAATAAAACGTGTATTATCGACTGCTCTCATGCTACGTCTAACTTTTAAAAACTATTGATGTTTGATTTTTGTAATACAGTATTATCAAAACTAATCAGAACAAATGTGATTCTTGAGATAATGCTTTTGTTTTCATGTACATGGTGTGGATATAATCCAAATTCTGTAAATGAATAACCAGAACATAAACACAATTTATCAAATGTTCCTCAGAAATTAATCATTTATTTAGTAGAACCTTTACATTGAATCACTTGTAGTGAAAAAATGATTACATATATTCCAGCTAATTAGAGTTCCAATGGATGGTGTATTAGTATTCTAAACACAAACCAGCACATACTTGATCCGAATGTAGCACATGCTGAGCTTGGATAATGAATCATTCACACTGCCCGTGTGAGGAATGTGCAAAGTTTACTTCGTCGGTAGGTTGAACACCACCTTGATGGTCTTCACATAGGTTTCATCAGGCTGGTGCTTCCTCTTGCTGCCTGGCTGCAGGAACTTTTTGATGGTGGGAATTTCGCTCATCCTGCCCTGGAAAGACTGGAGGGAAACACAAAGTTATTCTTTAACAGAGCATTCGGTAATCAGTGTATTTTTGTTCTTATTAACAAAATACTGAGATTGTATCAGAACAAGTTATCTTTTTGTTCTTTTGTACATCCAGTCTTATATACTATGTCACATGTACCTTGATGTTGGGAAACTTTGCGAGGATTTCAGGAAACTTCTCCTCCAACATCAGGGTGCATTCAAGCAGCTGCACATCTGCACAGCTTATCTTACTTCCCACCAGGTAGCTGGGCCCATTCAGCGCCTGAGATGTTCATCAAAGACACACACTATTGTGTTTTTTTAAATATATATATATATATATATATATATATATATATATATATATATATAATCCTCAACAGCTCAATTTTCCATCTTTAGGGTTTTTAACTAAGAGGAATCAGTTTCTAGAACATGCCATTTCATATATTATGTGCAGTAAGCATGGCGGTACCTTTTCGAACACAGGAAGGTAGCGTTTTGTTGCTTTAGTTTGAATGGTATCCAGTTGTGCCTTTGTATCTGCAGTGAAGGCCAACATCATTATCATTTCCATGAGATCCATCAGTCCCTCTGAGTACATGTTGATCCTGAGGGGAAGCATACACCGTGACACATTCATCCACTGAAATCACATGTTACAGAAGACACTCATGATTACACTTTTTAAGAAATGGACCATACGCGACTCGGTCTTTGAGATCCTTTCCATGAAGACTGTACTTCTCTGCGATGTAATTCAAGATTGCTTTTGACTGAATCAGCTTCATGCCATCAATTTCCACCAGAGGAACCTGTTCAAACATGAGATCTCCATCTGCAGAGAACATAAAGCATCAGAAGTATGAAGAGCGGCACACCCTTGTAGATTATAACTATGACTGCAGGTCAAGTGGGTTTAGACATTGGCCTCAAACTGAAAAAGCAAACATGTGACATGAAAACAGGCCGAATGTTGAATTCAGCTTTAATTAAACCACCTTTTTTTGAAACAAACTCACCACTCAGGAGTTTTTCATACTGCTCACGAGTTGTCAGATAAACCTCATCAAACTGTGAACATGAGATTACATAACAGATTTAGGGCACATTCAGGGGGGGGGGGTTAGGGTTGTTAAAAGACAGCAAAAGTTCCAGATTAGTATCACTTACCTCGACTTCTGCAACAGTCAAAAGCCAACGGATTGACTCCATTTTCCCTCTCCCATTGAAGTAGTGCAGCACAACTTTTCCAGCCATGGCTTTAGTGTTGGACGTGTGATATTTAGTATCTAAAAACTAAAAATAGACAGAGTAAACATCACATATTACTGAAAACAAATGCACGTAAGGTTAGCAAAGCGTGGTAACTGAGATAACATGTCTTAAATTATACCTGTGTGCACTGCCAACGATGCTGTGAGCAGTCAAAGATACGGTTAAGTCCTATTGTCGAAGGAAAAAAAAGATAAAGGTGGAAAAAACATTCACGTCTGTGATTGGTTGGTTCTGGCCAATACAAACATGGCTCATTAACATATTGCATCATGGGTAAAATACTAACTGGCCGTGTTCGTTCTACTTTTACTGCTAGTTTGAAGTATCGATGTATTTTACGTTTGAAACCATGACTTACGCACTAAGGCTGAACTATATACATACTATATACATTTGGTCGATACCCGACACCATGACCGTACATTGTACGACTGTTCTAGCTGATATATATATCACGTAGCGCTTAGCCTATTCGGATGTGAGGGCGATCTGGCTGCGACATCTGTCACCCCATTGATCGCTAGGGTTTATTCGGCTGATCTGGCTGGCTAGGCGGGTGTCCCCTTCCTCCCTCACCGCTCCATGTGTGTCCCTCCCGAAGCCCCGCGCTCGGTGGAAGAGGACGAGGTCCCCTCCGGCGGACGTCCATCCTTCGGTGTACCAGTAGCTGCGCTCCCCTGCTAGAACCTCCAAACAAGCTCAAGGCCCATTTGTAGGAGAAACGTAGGGAAGTTAAGCTCCAAAAGCGTCAGACACATCCAAATGAGGCGCTGCACGTGGCAGTCTGCCTTCCTTTTTCAATTTAAACCCAAGAATTATTTAAACCCAAGAATTAAGACTACAGACTGAACTACATTCAGTTTATTAATACAAAATGTGAATCAACCAATGATTTTATTCCAGCACTATAAAAAGTATATATATATATATATATATAATAGAGTGCTGGAATAAAATCATTGGTTGATCATTGGTTGAATATAATTTTCATTGTTTGGTCTCCCAAAAGTGGTTTAAACAGATCAAGGTACTAATTTAAAATCTAAAAAAAAGAGGGACATAATAACTGACTTCATTCAGTCCTACCACGATCTACTTGACTCAGGGGAAGAAAGAACTGTAGTTCTCTATGTCACATACATTACATTACGTCATGTACTCTACCAAACGTACTTTGCATAATGTCCTTGACCTAACATACTTTATGTACTGTACTTACGTGCAGGGTCTATTTAGGTCCACAAACAGACAATTGCAAGTGACTCTTGTGGTTTTAGAGACCCCCCCCCATAAAAAATGTTGCTATTGAGGTTTTCCAGTGTTTAAAATGTTTTGTTTTTAGTTTTGCTGGTGTTAGACACAGCATTTTAATTGAATTCATCAAGACTTTTCTCAGTTGTTTCATTCATCTTTCACCATGGAGGAATGCAAGATTCTTTTTATTTTTTTCATGAAGTGAGTAATTGATATACAAAAGATCTTTTTGTGGGTGAAGTATTTCTTTCAAATAAGTCAAATTTGACTTAACTTCTCTTGGTACATGAACAGCAGTCTGCTGGGTGAAAGTCCTGTGTTTGTTTAAACCATCCACCATCATCCTCTATACAAGAACCATTTTAAGTGATGTTTGTACAGACAGAAAGCTCCTTCACAATGCAGCAGTAGGAAAGTCCACATTAAGGGTCATCTCTTGCACCACAAGAGGCGTTATTTATATTATTTCGTGCCCTTGTTGCAAATACTATGGAAGATAAGATGCAAAAACATGAGCTACCCTGTTGCAGCACACTACCCTCTACCTTTGTGCTTAACTTTATCAACTTCCCTGTTCATTCTAATATGTTTTTCTAACACATTTTTAATTTTCTAAATGTGTGTATTTGAACTCCACCTGAGATAATACTGTACGTCTAGCCCAGGGGTGTCCAAACTGTTTTCAAAGAGGGCCAGATTTGATAATGTGAAAATGCCCAAGGGCCAACAGTCCCTGCTGACATTATTTTAAACAATACAAGTAGCCTATACATACGTTGTTATTTAATCATTTTATTTTCAACGACAGCAAATAGCAATGTAACCAAATGTAAGCAGCTATAATAACTATTTTAAAGTGATTAGTGACTCGTCTAAAACATTTAAAAAAGGAATAACTTCAATAGAATCATTCTATACACTGTAGCTTCTTTACATTCTATTAGAATGTAAAGAAGTTACATTCTGATACAATGCAACTTCTTTACATTCTATTAGAATGTAAAGAAGCTACAGTGTTGCCTTTTCTTTTCTTTTCTTCCCACAAGAACGTAATTTTGTCAGGTTGATAAAAAAAGTCACTTTACTTCCTGACATTGTTACTTTACCACAGGGGTGTCCAAACTTTTTTCAAAGAGGGCCAGATTTGATAATGTGAAAATGCCCAGGGGTCAACAGTCCCTGCTGACATTATTTTAAACATACAAGTAGCCTATACATACATTGTTATTTAATCATTTTATTTTCAATGACAGCAAATAGCAATGTAACCAAATGTAAGCATTCATGTATGAACAAATCTCAACTATTCTGCCTTTCTTTCACATCTTGAAAGTCAGATAACACAAAGAACAAGCCATCTAAAAGGTAATTACATAGAAACCGATCAATATTCTCACCTCAAGACAATCTTAAATATGACTGAGTGAGGGTAATGGAAAGTTGTCTCACATTTAAGTTCAACACACATGAAACAGGCTAACAAAAAAAATCAAGTTGTCTCTTAGTATCTGATGATAGCTCTTCAGTGTTACGAGCCAGGTAAACATTAGCAAACTCTGTCTTCTTCTCGGGGAAATTATGTTTTCTGCTATTTTCATAACACAGTCTTTGATAAACTCACCTTCCGTAAAAGGTTTGTCATGTTTAGCAGTTAGCATGGCCACTTGGTAGCTTACTTTGATGATGTTTTCATGTGAAAAGGACCGCTGCTGTGTGGCCAAGTTATCTTGGAGTTGCTTCACTTTTCTAGTACGGTCGCTCTCTGATAGCTTGTTGTAGCATTAGCATGTTTGGTCTCGTAGCGTCTCTTTAGTTTACATTATATTGCTTAAACAAGGCAACAGTATCATGACTAATTAGGCAGACAGTTGTTTCGGTTTTCGGTGAAAAAAATATTGCGATCTCCACCTCTCCTGGAAGCGGCGGCCCTCATTATCGACTTTCCTTTTTTTACTTGCCGTAACATGACAGGTCAAGGGTCAGAGCCAATTTCAAACAGCCAGACAGTTACAGAGTGGTGCTGCCACCATGAGGTAAAAAGAGGAATTGCATGTTGAATTTGTATGATTTATTCATTCCGTTTTGACTGTGCTGGCGGGCCATAAATAACGCATTTTAAGACAGAAGGTGCGGGCCATATAAAATCTGACCTCGGGCCGTGATTGGCCCGCGGGCCGGACTTTGGACATGCCTGATCTAGCCCAAGGTCTCCTTCTTAGGAACCAAAGGTATTTTTTCCTTCATTTGTACCCGTCTGTCTCTCCTGATGCTGTGTGTCGTTATACGGCTGCATTCTAGACTCTTCAACTTTCCTCTTTTTCGAAAGTTGAAAATGATTAAAAGTCGTTTTCATCGTGGCGACGAGGATGCGACATTGTTTAGATGCACACGAGTGTGTAAGGTGCACTAGATTGCACTTTGCCTCATTTTCTGTAAAACTGGAGGACACCATTTCTTTTTTGTGCTTTTATTGTTAAAAATAAACAAATCAAAGAGGCAAGTCAAATCAACAGAACTGCGTGCTTTATTGGTATACAGTAAAGCATTTTATAATACAGTAGTAAGGCATATATTTGGTGGAATCTGATATGTTGTGAAGTGTTGACGCGTTATTTGAAAAAAATGATGTGAGAATGAAACATTAGAAATGAAAAACAACAAAAGAAACCAATCAAATTCAGTGTCTGGGTTCAAAAGAAAAGAAAAAACTTGCATAAATGCTACAAGAATATGATGCTGTAAAACAAACGATGCTCGCCATGGGCTCCTCGGAGTGGTTATACATTAAATAAAGATTGGAGTTCATTTAGTCACACATGCTAATATCGTAACACCTCACACGGCACAAAACAAAATAGCCTTTTAGCCAAAGACAAAAAAGACACCGCTAGAATAACCCCCCCCCCCAAACAAAAGGGTTTTAATACATCTGCAGCCAGTTTAAACTGGATGAGCTTACCTAACGTTACCTAACCTTGAAAAACTGTGGACACCATATATGCTGGTGCGATCGTAAACTTGATAACCTAAACTACTGTCCAAAAATAAATGATAAATATATATTGACAGATTCGGACTTCCCGGTTCAATAAATCGTTAACGAAACGTTGCTAAAATACAAACGATACCTCCCTGTAACCGTAGTGAGGTAGACAACAAGCTACAACCTTAATTTAATTAAAACGGGCCGTCTTAGGGACTCCTCCGAGCTGGACAATCTGCATTGGTCTCAATGAGCGGCCGGCTGCGAGACGAGTGCGCAGGGACCGTCTACAAAGTGCAATGTGGAAAATACCTACTACAACAATATTCAATAGCTTCACTGTCATGCAATGTAATGTAACAAAAATCACTTCACACATCAATGGGCTCCTCTTTGTTGTACTACAAGTGTTATTTTGAAAAAATATGATTTTGATTAATTTTAGTGAATATTTATTGAAAATAATAATCAATAGCTTTACTATTGATAAGTGTAGCATGACCAAAATCACTTCATACATCAATGGGCTCCTTCTTCATTAGTGAAGTCTCTTTGCTTCCATTATTCTAGCTCCTGCGTTCCTGCCTTGAAACAATAATCACTATCAGTTACCAGCCTTAGTCTCGAGATGTTTTTCTTTTTTGCAGACAAGAGACCTTCTAAAATAGCTGTCACCTCGGCGGTTTGCGCAGTTCCTTCGCAGCTTCCTATTTATTTTTTTTTCTGAACAGGATTTTGAACTTTCGCGATGATTTCTAGTTTTTCTAATTCATCTATAGTTTGGTCTAATTCCTTTTTTACCTCTGGTTTTATAGAGTATTGAGATTGCCTGGGTGGCATACCACCTCTAATCGAGTGGGTGTATTCAGGTACATAGCCTATATCATTTTTAAATTTAGCATAACTTCCCCTTTTGAGAATATTTTCCAGCTTTTGTTTATCGAACA